CGTACTAGACTCAGGTATCGTTTCTTCACCTTCTTGCTCCATTTAACTATCCGCTGCCTGATCCCCTGAGTCATTTAGTTCTGAAGAGTTATGTGCTCTACCCTGCCACTGTCAGACTCTGAATTTGAGTCAGAGGCTGACTGAATGTTGTTCTGACTGTCCTGCACAGTAGAAGTCAAAATCTTACTGCAAATATGTGCCTTCACCACCCTCACCCTCAATGTTGTGGTGATTAATATAAAGTTCAAGTTCACCAACTCTAAGGGATGACATCTGGTTTCTGTGATAGAGATCTTCTCAGTCAATGTCTTTGTATTCCTGTTGCTTTCTTTCTGCACGCTTCCTGTTATTATCTGTTAGCCGCTTATCTTTTCTCATTTCAACTTCACTTAGATGCTCAATATAATTTGCAACAAGCTTTTCTGAAACAATGCATTTTTCAGAGAACTCTTTGACTGTCTTTTTATCCCTTGCTTTGAGCTTACCCTCTCAAAACAACTGTTTTATTTGAGCTCGAGGCTGATCAGAATCATCAGGTTTGCGGCCACTCGTAGGTGTTTTCGTACTTGGTAGGTAGTGAGAGTCGCGAAGTTTGCTATAATCGGGATAGGGTCGTGGAGTTGGTGTAGCTGGAGAAGGACTTACAAAGTCTCAAATTTTATACTTCCATATTCAAACTTCAGCTATAAAATATAAATATTTCACACTGACTGTTCGCATTTTCTTGTTTCAGCTAGCACACATTCAATATCGAAATATATTTATATTCAAACATTTTGCGTTCACAAGCGAAATGTTCTGAGGTTTCTACGGCATGGAACATACCATGTAGTAGTGAGGGGAGGGTCGCACTTTTATCAGTCACTAAAGGCGGGGAGTCAGGAGTTTTTTTTTATATATTAAAACGCAAGGGAGGGCCAACACTTTCTAAAAAAAAAAATTAAAAAATACCAAAATTCCCCAGCCCCTCTCCCCCAAGAAAAAACACGGTTGATATCTCGGGCAGACAACAAATAAAACAAGCTACATACAATGTCAGAAGAATGAAAAGGTGCTGAATTTCTGATACGGAAATCGCTTTATTACAGCGGTGTATTGCTAAATCCAATTGCAAATAAAGTCCATGAAAGCAGAACGAGTGAAAATATAGAAATGTTCCTGTCTCCAGCACAAGCGATTAAATGAAAATAAAGCAAATAACCTGTTTTAATGAAGTATTGAACAAATGTCTCCGTAAACTTCACTCGTCTGCAAATAATTTTAATAAATTTTAATTTCAACATTTGTTAAATTCACACCATGCAGTCGGCAAGAAAAAGAATTTTCATTATTGCTGGAATTAAATAACGTACGTTTTCTCGAAAACACGTAGAACAAGCTCAGCAGGCTTAACTCGCCTTACAGGCGTAACTGGATGGACAAGTTTAACACGATGACAGCTACGGCAATAAATTATTCACTGGTTACTGCCTTGAGGAGATCGAAAATTTTGCCATGTTTGTTTTCGCGAAATTATCACATATTCTACTACTCTTTCTCACGGAACTTTCTTTGTCGGATTTCTGAAAGCGACTTAGGAAAATAACGGCTTGGAGCATTAATTCCTTTTGTCTCCATATATCATGCAGTTTATTTCCAAAATGTAAAGTTTAGTTACTGAGTTTTCCTCTATCACTAGGAGAAAAACAGTAGGATATTACTTTCCTTTGCATGTTTTTACCTATTTTTTTCTCCATGAATTGAAATATTGAAAACGTTAAGTGGGTTTTTAACTTATTCATAATTCCGAACAAAGTTTCATTGTGGTTAAATCTTAACTTTGTCCAACGATTATTAAACTGGAATCGGCAGACATTACATTTGAGTTTTTCCTTTTTTTAGCCATAATAATATGAATACGCCTTTCTTCTCTCTTCGTTAATCGATATCCAGTGGTTGCTTAATGTTTTGCTATGGATGTCGCCAAAAGCTTCCTGCTGGTTCTAATACACCCCGTTGGCTCAATTTTATTCGAAGTGATATACAATTGTATATAGAACTTAGCATGAATCCAAAACAGCTTCCAGGAAAGGAACTTCTTAATTCTATCAAGGGACTGTTTACATTTTATGAAGATTAATTGAGCTTCCCCCCTTCTCAGTTCAAAGTAACACATACAGCGAAAGAAAATCCCCCTTAAAGTTATCGTTTTTTGATATCACTCTATCCATTTTAAGCGGTGTTCAGATAACTCTACTAAATTTAAGTTCACAGATTCCAAAATTTACATCAGAGAGAAATAAGTTACAAACGTTGACCGCATGAAGTCCTCAAACGCTAAAAAAAATATGTGGATAATTCATCTTTTTTAAAGTTTCATTAACTAAATTTCGCCTCAAGCGACAGCTAAATTTTCCGGCATTGAAATAATCATGTCTCCTGCAGATGCTTTATAAGATGAGGCTGTTACGAGCGACACGCGAGCCATTCAATTTCACAACATTATGTTTGCAAACGACCATGTTCAATCATTAATGGTGAGGTAGATGTCACTCTAAGCTGCTGAAGTTTTAAAACGTTTTCAGTAACTGTTATAATAAGTTGATGCTTGAATTTCTTCCAAGTCCTGAGTTACGGATAACAAGTGACTAAATTTTCTGAAGTTGCGAAAAGCAAATAAAGACCACTGTGTAAGAATCATCCCATAGCTTGATATTTACAATTACGTGGGGAATATTTCAAATATCATATATATGATCATTCGCATACACCAATTTTTTCCCCAAAATTAATGTAAGTTTCATTCTATAGAATAAAAATTATCAAAATTCATTTTTTTCAGTCAAAATTCTGCTAAATCGCAATTTTCACTTTCACAGTTTTCGAGAAAGCCAGACTTTGTCGAATTCTGTGATAAATTTAATTCCTGTTGCTTATGAAAAGTGTTTTATTGAAGCTTATGAAAACGTCGGAAAGAGTTGTTGAAATGCTGACAAGTTATCTGATAGGTAAAAAGTGATATCCTTATTGTAAAGATTTTTATGTATTCATCATTCGCTGGAAATTCTCCAGAATAATAACAAAAATCGACAGTTTCTTCTGGCGTTCCCATATTTACAAAACAAAAGGAACAAAAACATGCTGTATCTACAAAAATAATTATACGATTTCAAATTGTAATCTAAGGGAATGAAACTTTCAGAGACAAAATCGCTGAGTTAGAATATTCATGGCTGCTCAGCCTCCTTCATGAGTTCTCATTTCTGAAGATAACACGAAATATTTTTTATTGGAGAGGGGAACCGGTTTACTCGACAAGCTTGCGAGCTTTGGGAAAATTATGTCACGGTAGTTTCTGCGCCAAGTTCTGTGGCTCGTTTTTTTCGAAACGAAGCCTGAAAACCTTTATTACTCTGGTTTCCACATGACTATTGAAAGGATTGGCTAACGTTCAAATTTTAAAAGCCCCCTGTCAAACATAATATTCATCGTTTCAACTTAGTCTTTCAAATTTGCTTATCGGGTGACAAGCTATTTCCTTAGGCTTTTGCAAATAACAGAAAACAAATAAAAAGTTTCTTTCAAAATTTATCAAATTTCCTTGCAAGCTCCTTTGCCAATAACTTCCCCTATAGATCGACCTAAATTCTGTGTATCTATGCGATTAGCTCTAAATAATAATGAGACCCAACTCTTTCTTTTGATAATTTAGATTGATCAGTTCTCTGCGAAAAGTAGATTTAAATAAATTCACACCTGTGGGTAGGGAAAACATTAGAAGGAAAATTTATTCACCTCAACAAATTACAACTCTAGTTTTGCACGGTTAAAAAAAAACCTCGATCACTCTTTTAATTATTTCTAATATCTACTCAAACTGTTCGGTCCTTTTTCGCCGCAATATACTCAAGAGATAGGGATTGATTTCTCCAAGAGTAAATTGAAGCTGCTTTCGAAACCTGTTAATATCCGATGTACTGGTTACGATACTGCTAAAAAAAGTTATGATCCTTGGTGATATAGAACCTGATTAAATTTCGAAGTTATGGGTTCCGTGACACTTTGTCAAAGAGCTCATTATCTGCTTGGATGAAATCACTAATTTTGCTTTTATCCTGAAAGCGAGCTCCACCGATTTTGTTTATTTAGCTAAATGCGAATGAATATTGCATAATGTCCGGTGTTCATTTGAGAGAGTTGGTAGGGTTGTAACACCTGTAACTTGCCTTAAGACATAAATTAGTGAGTGGTGGGCGTCATTCGCTGTCAATTTAAACAGTGTCTCTGCGTCTTATTCCAAGCAGGTCTTAAAGTAAAGATAAAAAGATAAGTTTACTGAGCTAAATGGTTTTCATTTTGGATTCCCACTGTTATCTGAAGACTGTTCCTACCACGTATTGACAACTTGGGTTGAATTCAAATGATCCGACGCCTCAAATAGGCGCCCCGTTGTAGGAAAGTCCAAAGATTAAGTCAAGATGTGGGAGGCATTAACTTTGAAAAGTACTCCTTGAAAAACAAACAAACACTAGTGAGGTGTCTGTTACCACTGGGGCACCAAAGGCTCTTGGGATGCTTAATTATGAGCTTATATAAACAAAAACTATTTTTGATGAAAATCTATTTTCAAAACCAAAATCACCCGATGCAGCTCTCTTGACCACAAACACTGAAGGAAGTTTTACATCAGGGAAATCACGCTTGTAACGTCTTGGAACAAACAAAAGGTCAGATTCTCGAAGCAAAAATATCGGATTTCCTCTATCAATCATCATTTTACACAGTGGTGACTTTTCCGTCGTGAAGGTACAGCGATAGCGGTTCCGTTTTGTACACACGCGTAAAAAAAACTAAGATATTTTCAAAATCGAAAATTTCTGAAGGGCGAACTTTGCGAACATGGTCGGCTTTCCGCGATGAGGATGTGCTCTTGATCAGAAGCTGAAACTGTTCACAAGATGGATAATTCGACTCCAACAAATGCTTCTCTTTCGAACGACGATAACACCGGGTTTAAAATACCCCTTGGTTACCACATCGTGGCCTATTTGGCGATTGTACTGGGATTCTCTGCCAATCCCTTTATTTGTTTCTCCTTCGCTTATTTCAGACGAGTACGATCCGTGAATAACTATTTTGTTGTCAACCTGGCTGTTATCGACATATTATTTATAATTCTCCTCTGTATTCAGTTAGCAGCGCCGGCCCTGCAAAAAAGAATGTCAACTGATAATTTTTATTACTTGAAGGAGACTTTACTCATTACAGAACAATTCTGCTACTCAGGATGCATGGCAGCGGTGACCATCATAAGCTATGATCGGTACTATTCCGTCATCAAGCCTCTCCATTACTACACCAATATTACCCACACTAAAGCAATAATTTTTATTGCTTGTAATTGGAGTTATGCGACGGTGATGGCATTACTGCAATTGCTTTTTTATCTTCCCAATGAGAATTATTTCAAATACGGTTACCTCTCGTTAATGGGACTTACCAATGCAGTGATTCCTTTGTATGTCATACTATATTGCTATATGAACATCTTTATTATCGCTTCGCGACACCTACGACACAACCCGCACCGTGGACAAGATCAGAATGGCGAAGCTAGTGTGTTCACAAAGAACCTGAAAATAGCATTTCATATCCTTGTTCTCGTTGCTCCTGTCCTTCTTTTCTGGAGCACTTTCTCCGCTGTAACGATTATAGAGGTTCACTGCCAAGATTGCATACCCAGTCATAGTTTTCTGAGTACAATAATGAGTATGACTCCAAATGTGATAGCCTCAGTCGATCCTATTATATACATTTTCCTCACCAAAGATTTCCGTGAGATCATTTGTGGCTGGTTCAAACTCCACAGGAGTCATCCTTTCTCCGTCAGCGAGACTTTTCACCTTTCAACGACAAAATCAACAAACCCTCAGGTTTTGCCGGCGGCAAAGAGACTCGTCAGCGAAAGCGGGGATTCTTTGGAGGGTTCTTATCGTCTATATTAAACATTTTTGCTTTAGTTGTGGTTTTGGCAAGGTCTGATAACAAGAATAGGAAGACTTCCACCAGCGTGACGTGAAACAAAAAGTTTAGTCAAATAAGGAAGCACGAATTTGAATATTAGAACGAAATATCAAGGATCTGTGACCTCGGGAAACACAAAAGAATAACAAGGGATTATTTAAAAATTTACGAAGCAAACAAAAGAATTCGACGGATTTTACCTCTACATCTGCATTACAAAAAAACAAAAAATAGAAACTACAGCCAAGCAGATAAGGAAAATCTTCTGATAATTCCAGTTTGCTGAATCTTTGTATTGATTGGATGATGTCATATCTGATAAAAATATTTATATATAGGAAAGAAATTTAAAACGACCATAAAAAAACGGTCTGGTTTTGAAGATACTGCGAGCAATTGCTGCTAATAACTTTTTCTATGTCAGATTTGAATTAGCGAAATGACGACAGTCAAAATGTTCTTTTTAAACCGCCTAAAAGTTTAAGCTTAATGATCGTTTCCAAAGGAAAATTTATTAGACTGCTTGCAATTTCCAAAGCACTTACAGGGGAAAATCAATTTAAACAGACTACCGGCAGCTTTGATGAACGCTTTCTGTCTTGAATGACGATAAGTCCAAATGTTTTCGGATCTGTTTGACATACCAGCTATTATTACTTATGAAAAATTGATCCAAGTGTTACGTGTAAAATGTCTTAGACAAACACATATCAAGGTCATATTTCAATGTATAAAATGCAAATCTCTACCAGAAAGACACTGTTATTTTTAACTCTTTCATTTTCAATGGCTCCATAGAAGTAAAATTGTTTTGGTATTGTCTGTACATATATTGATATCCGAGGAGCACAATGATGTTAAAATCTTAATTACCAAAAACTGAAATAGCGGCCTTCATTGACTGACACTGATGGCAGGTGTACCTCGTGTGACACTTCTCCTTTTCATGGATTTGCAATTAATTTTTACTTGTCATTTTCACACGTCAGTAGCCGGAGAAGCTTGGAAAAAGCTTAACCCATAGACTAAGCTGATTTTCGTATTTTCAACCGAAAGTACACAAGTGCTCTCGTTTGGGTAAATCCTTGTAAATGGAACAAAAATTGGGAAACTTTTAAGGGGGAAAAGCTAAGTTCCGGGAGGCCATAAAACAGGATTTGAAGCAAATCGCATAAACCTATGACAAATAATAATTTAATGATTTATATCGTCGGTTTGTTCAACGAAGTCGTGCGGCGCAACATTCCTTCTATAAACGACCCACTGAAGAAGATAAATGATAGGTAATATCAATCAGTTGCATACAGGTTTTAGGCGCATCAATAATTTACTTGGTTTATTTCAAACAGCGAGAAAACAGTTTAAAGCTAACTTGGATCAATACCGTAAACTCGCCTCATTGCAACGTAGACGATTTTCAATCATAATTTAAGGTGAAACATTCATAACTCATAGCATAAATAATTAAATTGACTTAAAAGGTTTTAAGATCAGATCAATTTTTAAAGCTGCATAATGTGTAGGATGATGAAACAGTATATTGATAGATGTTTACTAAGGTAAGTCCTTTCTATTACGGATAATGTAATGTCTGAAAGAAATAAAGCCTAAATGACAGACTAAAGAAAACGAAAAGACGAACTGTCTCCATTCATTTGTACGCTAGTCAATTCCTTCGTAAAGAAACTAGTTTATTATCCAAATACTCATTAATAAAGTGAAACTTCAAACTGGCGAAACGATAAGTCATGTTTAATAATACGCAAAGTTCTGAAATAAAAGCAATTCACTACAACAATGGTTGTTTCTGTTGTTGTTGTATCGAAATTGAAAAATCCTGCCAATGGTCATTGCAAATTTTTATTGGAGCATCGCCGGCGTTTCATTAATATCGAAAGAGGAATCATGCAAAGTGGAAAACATCCAATTGCTTTAGCTTGGATAAGGTGAGAAATTTCGATTCAGGCGCTAAATATTCTAAGGGTGCGTTCGATAAATTGACAACAAAATTCGTGCAAGTTATTTCAAATCATCTTATAACAATTAACAATTATCCTTTTGGGTAAGGTAAGAACCTTAGTAGCTTGTTTTTCAGGCCCTCGAAGATTTATTAATTATCGAACGAAAAATGTTATCCGTCAAAATTTTATCTAAATGAGTTGTTAAGTGTATGCATAGATACGAGACTGACTTCAACCACGCCCAGACGTTAATTAAGTCAAAATTATTTACAGCTGTACTTTTTTAAGTTTTCACGACGTTTTCGTAATTATACAATCAATCCGCTAGATAGCTTTTAGTGTGTGTTTAAACGTTAGTGAGACTTAAATATATGGCTTGCTTACTTCCTTGTGGTACCAAGAAATTTAGAAACTAAACCTCTCTTTTAAGCTGAACGATACCGAAATATTCTAAATTCTCTTGAAAGTCAAATAGAGCATAATTGAATGAGGTTCTTGAGAATGATTACAATCTTGTCATGAGAATACTTGGAAGAAAAAAGAAACAAATGCTGAAGTAATGCACGGAGTCTGATATCACTTGAACTACTTGAAAGATCTCCTTGAAATGCGCTCTAGACTAGACGGACCTTTCATGAACTTTTTCCCATTAACGTAAAGCGATATGCTATGCTAAAGAAGTCACGTAATTTACATTTACGTAGCGCATTTTTCTCTGAAATTTTCAACCTCTGCATGTTTTATGACAAAAATCTCACATGGAAGAGATCTCAGGCAATGAAGGAGAAAGAGAAAAACGTTTTGGAGCTTGACATAGTCGCAGATCTTTTTCCTATAAGATTATTCTTTCTTTTGTACTCTGAGGCTGTAGTCCTGATGAATTTTGAAAACAGTGTTAATAATTACTCTTATGGTCAAGACCGCAGACAGACTGCATCTTTCAATTTGGTCAGTTTTCTGTAAAGTTTCTGAGTAGCGGTTTTTTTCCTTAGCTGGACACGCTTACAATTCTTGCTGATCTTGTCTTGTTTCTCGTGCGGAATGATTTCGTTGACTGATTTTACCTCCATATCATGAAAAGGAGATCAACTTTAATAGCAATGAGTTTTATTAATTGATCTAAAAAATGGCCGTATATGGCCATTTAGGAGTAATGAAGGCAGCAGCTTCAAAATACCCGCGGGATATTTTAAAATTAAAGTATTATTTTTCTCTAAAATGTTTATGTTTTCGCTTTTCTAGGTCACTAAAAGCCATAAAAAAGGGCGATGAGCAAGGTTCCGACTATCGCTTTCTGTAGTAAATATTATCAAAACGATTTTCATCATTAAGTTAAGGCTCCACAAAGGGAGGCGCTCACCAGCGATAATCTTGGCTTTGCCTTTGATTTTCTTCAATTTGCTTCCGTGAAATCCCTCAAAATTTTCACAATTTGTAAAATTTGTCTTGCCGATCATTTAAAGGCTGAAAAAAAAAGGGGTTACATTGGCAGTTCCCTCGCTATTTGCAATTTTGTGTTTTCTTCCTCAATCTCAAATTTTGTCTTGTGAATTTCTTTTTTTATCAACATACACTAGGAAGGGCATAAATATGTTTAACGGTCCAGTAAATCTTTGGAAATTCCGCCGAAGGAAACGCGATAAATCTTGCAAGATTCCTATTTTCTTTGTCGCAAAATATTACCAAACTGAATAGAACTTCGCCAAGTTCTATATCTAACTTTCGAATCTGTCACGGTCTGTCGCCTTTTGGCAATCTTTCCCAAGGTGTTTTCTTTTCGGTTGACCTCTTTTTCAGGCGTAAAAGGCCTATAAATATTACGGGTGCATTTGTTGGAAACCCTAGATTCCATTAAATAAAAACTGTATTGATTGAAACTGTTTTTAACACACCTTTTCAGATAACAACCGTGCGATCGTATCGAGCCGCCACGTTCGTTTGCAAGTTGACACTTATCAAGCTCGCGCTATGTTCGCACTCAGATCTCACGCGGTCAAAAAAAGTTGAGAACGCTTGGATCGCAAAATTTAATGCCCTTTTTTCATATCTGCTTATGGAAATCGCGAAAACAAGACCCCGCGAAATAAATTCTTTGCACCAATAGAAATAGGGAGGCAGCTCTCCGGATAGACTTTTATCCAGTGGATAGCGTTGTCCAACCTTCAAACAACTGGGACCAGTATTGCAGTCGAAGAACCAATTAAGACCGATAGTCACGGCAAAAATGTCGGACCAGGTCGGATAGGGAGGTTCACCAATTTGGCTTCCTCTGCTTTCTCCTTTTTGTAAATTCTTCCTCTTATTTTTTTTGTTATAAAACAATTCTACAACTTTTCCTCTGTGTTCTGAATAGTGAATTTTGTTGCGGAAAAATGTGAAGGGAGGGTTGATCCGATCCGGCTCCATTTTTACGGACTCACTTTTTTCAGGCCATGTTTTCACTGCTGTTTAAGTAATATTCATTACTGCGAAGATCGCTTTCATACCCATTTCTTAAACTGCAGTTCACATGTATGATTTTCACACATTCACGGTCATTAATGTAATGGTTTTGTCAGATCACATCTGGTTTAGTGCAATGATAAAGTTGTCCGTTTGGATTCAGTCATCAATATCAGTGTCTTATCAAGCTTCTTCTCTAAATTCACAACTGATTCGTGCACATCTTCCCGAATAACTTTGAATTAGTCAAAACAATATCAGCATACTTTACTTAGAGAGGATAGCACTTAGCAGTTTCAAAAAAGTGATAATCCTGTGGCTCTCTAAAAATAACTAAAGTGAAATACATCTAAATTCACCTTGGCTTCGTTAGTTTAACATATGATAAGCGCGGATATTTTGACGGCTGCTTGGCATTTTTCCGGACCCCGAAGGGGCGAGGAATATACGAGAAATTAGCAGAATGTCTGCTTGTTTTATATATGTTAACCCACTGAATAAAAGATTTATTATTCCACTGTCATTCCGCTTTTTAGTATTTTGATTTCAGTTTGCGAAATACATCCAACAGCCTTATTTGTGCTTCGTATCGATCACATCAGGAGTATGCGAAAGATGAAAACAACACCAACGAAACCCTTAAAGTCTTCCTTGAGACTTATTTAAAAAAAACTCTGTTGCGCGTAAGAGTTAATTGATCATTAGTTTGTCTTCAACAGTCGCACATACGTCAAATATGAGCAATCCACCTGGTAGCTTCCTCTCTATCGACCAATCAAAGAAAGCTGCAAACGGCGCCAGCAATCAGCTTGTTTCATAATGTATAAACCAAATTAATCACCTTTTCAGACTTCGCTGACTTAGAAGGCTGACATAGTCAACTTTGCACTAAAATTGAAAAGTTTACCAGAAGAAAAGGATCGATCTTTAATAGTTTACTGGTACGTTTAGTTCTTTTTCAGGTACAATATTGTCTCTAAAGTCTGTTCTGTTTCATTCTTTTTCCCGTTAGGACATCCTTTTGAAAACTCAAGACCAAAAGTAATGTTCAAATCGATTTCCTGTTTTTGCGGCTTAATTTCACCTCAGTCAAAACTTCAAGCGAAGGCTTGAAGATGTCTTAAACACCCATCAGGTGATTCGTTTTCGGAGTTTTTTTTCCAAGATTTTCATCGCCTTTTGTTTGGGGGTTCAAATCGTGTTACTGCATTTGAAAATTTAAAAATGTTCGCTGAGAACTATGTTATGAGCTGAGAACTATGTTATGAACTGAATTACATAATAAGGACAATCCACGAGGCGAGATTATTCTCACTTTAGATACCGATTTTATCTGAATTTCCTGCTGTTATAACTGAATTCATAGTTTAAACTTTCAATTTACATGGCTGAGATTTGCGGCCAAAGAGAGAGTTTCCTTGGGGTCAACACAGAAATATCTGTTCGCTTATTGGTGATAAGTTTGGTATGAAAACGTTATTATAGTCATGGTTACTGCTTTTTGCAAAAATTTACTCTAAACCTTGACCATTCGTCTTCTGCCATTTTGTTTTGTTTTCCGTCAAGCATCCTTCTTCCTTTCTGAATTATTTCTATCGAATTCAAACACTTTTTCAGGTTTCGTTAATTAGACTTATCATTAGTGCATCGTGTTATCTAGGTTGATATAGCTCCTTAGTTTTAGACGCTTTTATTCTTCATTCTCAAGATTACAAAAGTGAAAAGCGTGCATCTTTATCTTAATAAAAAGATCTTATTCTTTGGTTACGTAATATTTAATTTTCGCCAGCAGAAGAGCCTCAGGCAAGGGACTCATGATGTAAATAGCATGGGGGAGGGGGCAGGGGGCAGCGGGGAGGGGAATGGGGAGGGGGAGGAGGGGAGGGATCCTTCATTACAACCCATTGACTGCAGGCCCGGCTGTTTTATTTTTGTCATAAAGAAGAGGTCACATGCACTGCGGGACCTGCGGGAAATGCCCCTTTACTCCCTCTTGTAGTGATTGTTAATATACAAATTCTCGCGATGAAAACACAATTTTTTTTCACTTTCTCTTATCACAGAATCTTAAGAAACAAGGCTCAAGAAGATTCTACCATGGCTACTCCCACGAAAACTATTATTGCCACAACCGACCAATCACCATCTCCCACCGTCAACAGAGAAGTTGTCATAGTAACGTCTATCCTTATTTTCATCCTTGGGTTTGTTGGGAATGCCTTCATCTGCTTTGGATTCTGTCGTTTTCGTCAACTGCGCTCCCTTACCAACTATTTCGTGCTGAACCTCTCCATTGCAGATCTTCTGTTAGTGACGGCTCTCGCAGGATGGATTATACACGATCTCCGTGGGAATCCACCCGATGAAAAGATTCTGATCGTACTTCTCATCAATATCGACGTGTTGTGTTTCTCGACATCGATGCTTAACATGATGACAATCAGCTTGGACAGGTACTGCGCCGTTGTCTATCCTCTCCAATACCCACATATTATTACAAAGTCACGTGCTTGCATCGCTACTTTCCTTATTTGGGCGTACTCTTTAGCCATGGCGGGTATTGGTGTGAGTCGATTTTTCACGGACGCAATGGAAAATTCCGACAAGATATTCTTGTCTGTGTTAAGTACCGTCAATTTTGTGATCCCGGCTGTGGTGATGGTTCTCACGCATTTAAGCATCTTTAGAATTGCTTGGAATGCAAAGCAACGATCGATGGCGGATCTTGGCGGTATTGAAGGGGTGCATAACATGAAGGAATTGCTCCTAAGCCTGAAACTCTCCTTCAACACACTCGTCATCTTGTTCCCCATGGTAACGGCGTGGGGCATTTTTTACGGAATAACGGTTTCAGAGACACTCTGGCCGACCCAGATTCAACTTTCCGCAGGGTTTTCCATCGCCGTTGGTCTTCTGCCGCATATAGCAGCTGCCATCGATCCCATTGTCTACATACTCGTCACACGTGACTTGCGCAGGAAATTGTGTCATTTTTAGAAACGACTGAAGGAAAAACGCGAAACCCTCAAACCATTTTACCATGAGAAAATATGTTTTCCCAATTACTAATTTAAGCATATTGAATTTGTGAATATGCGTGACAATGCTGAGCTGTGCGTGAATTTCAGTAAGTGCAAGCTTGCTTGTAGTTTGATGGGTTGTGCCGTATTTTGACCAGACAGCAAATGAGTCAAAATACAAACAATGAGTAGAAATACTACGCGCCAAAACGTCCAATAAGTTATTAAATATTCAAATTCTTTAGTTTATGCGCATTTCTTGTAAGGCGGGAAAAGCGAAGCAGTTGGAGAGGCGTAGCGCGAGTGGGTTTTTTGACATAACATAAAATGATCAACTGTCCAAATATCGCGTTATTTGTGTTCTTCTTAGTGCAGTTGGATGATATGGACGAAGTACTTTATTTCCATGTTACTAGGGAGATAATGGAGATGAGATGGAGTTAAGTTTTGGATTTGGTGTTGAACTTTTTTGTTACTTTGTTAGTTTTGCACCCTTGTACATCACTGATAGCGGAGCTCGCAGCGCTCGTAGCGAAGATTCATACTTACAATAGTGGCAATGCAACATCTTAGATCCCCTTCCATAATAGAAGAAATCTTAAATTTTGCTATGTAATCCTAAGATTCCCAGAAAGATAGAGGATATATTGTAATTGATATCTATGAGATGTGTATCAGCACGCTAGCTGCTATGTAGTCTTACTGTCTTTGATGTCACGTTGTTTTTGTGCAGAATGCTGTCGATAGCGCTAGCCTTTATGAGGTTATATTCATAGCCCAGGATGTTGTTCTCATGGAAATCCGCGTTTAACTTCAATTTCAAAGCAGCAAAGTACAAATACATCAGTTCAGTATTAAAGTTATCTGCACAATGACAGAAACACGATCTAGTGTTGTAGTTATCTTTTTATACATCATCTTTTTAGCTGACCAGGTTCTCGATCCCAGGTTGTCAAATCAATAATTTCGGGAAACACAGCGTTTGGTGATAGTTTAATAGTTAGCCAACGCAGCTCACTTTTTATCATCATTTCAAAGGAAAATTACTTGAAAGTGATTCTTAGACACATCATTTCTCCCTCTTCACACGTCTCGTAGGTCCAACTTCACACAGGTCTCTTAAATTCTCATCTGGCCTTCAGAACACCGTTACGTGGATGATACCTAAGCCCCTCGCCAAACTCTTTTCTAGTTTGGTTTGGTTCTGTTTTCACATTTTGTTAATTCCTTCTCTTCAAGTGTAATGCCAGTCTTGACACCCACTACGCTCCACTTACCTTTTTTCTTCACTCACCTAGGGAATCTATACAGTAGTAGTTATAGTACCGAAGGATAAGGCTTCTAATCTTCAACAGGAAAACGCGTGTAACGGCGCCATTCCAGTCGTGTAGCTTGACGTGTTTTGCCGTGTCGAGCGAAAAGTACTGGGAATAAATAGAAGGCGTCGTAATCCTGACATTACAGTACTTATAACCTAGGGGGCAAAATTACAAAATGCTGATTGGCTGAGACAGCTAGGGCATTTTTCATTAACTATGGTAATTGCCCCTGGCAAAATGACTTGAAATTGGAAATAACAAAAAAGGGTTAACTTTGCCTCAGAGTATCATAATTTCATTGAAGCAAGGCGAATGCTTTATACAGCAGGGCTGGTTAATTGCTTTCCTGTTGTTGTTTTAAAATAAAATTTCTGTCATGAAATTGCGTAACAGCGAGCGTTGTGACCTTCTCTGTCCTTTATATTATAACTGAGAAATAGAGTGTTTCCTCATCAAATTAAGGGCGAATATCACTCGTGCTTTTGCGTGATATTAATCTTTAATTCCCTCGACGATTGCCATAATTCACGTAAAGAGTATTTTTGAAATATTTCGGAAAGGCTCTACAAGACTCCTTGCGTGTTTATACACTCCCTTGACTATGAGGTCGGGAGAGTTCGTGAAAATTTACAAACCCTTAACTCCATCTCTGACCAAACTCACCCAAGTGTTAAGATAACTCAACTTTATAAGGATACATTTAGTTACAAATTTTAGGCAGTCATGGCCCCAGGCGAACCTGATCAGAGAGGTTACCCTTGCTGTGAGATAGGAAAAATTGGAAATAAAAAGTTAGAGGCGCAAGCCAAAACAAGACTTACTGATCAAAACATGGTTTTTATGTCTTTTTTTTTATTTCAAATTGTAAATAGTGTCCTACAGCATACTTCGGAACGTTTCATTAAAGTTCCATCCTCCTCTATGAACAGATCTAAGGTACTTTACTGATATCTAATACAAGGTCTCTCTAGGGTTTGGGTTGATTGCAATTGCTTTTCAAGCGACACAATCATAGGCTAGAAATTTGTTTTAACTTAACAGTGCTCCAAGCTCAAAGTGAATATCCTTAAGTCGCCATTTCGCGATCAAAAATCAAAGAATGGTCTCCCGTAAAAAATCTTCATAGAAAATGGCTGGCGATCGTTTTGAAAGACTTTGACCTCACTTGCACACTTTCCACTTTCACGAACGAGGAGAAAATGAACACTATGAAGCATACAAATTTTTTTTTATCTCACTTTAACTTTAGGCCATTTAATTCAATAATGAAAAAGTTATGTACAGCCTGCCCCTTGACCGCCAATCACGGGTCGTAAGTTAGGCGACTCTCGCTGAAATTTTAGTGGCTAATTTTTTTTGCCACTCGCCAGGACGACCAGAGCAGCTAGGAGCGCTGCTTAGGTTGATCTCTGAGGGATTAACAAATGTCACCTTCTTTTGTTTGGACCATGAACGTCTTAATTTTCTTAATTGGAAATCAATCACCCTTGTGTTAGAGTTATTTGTTGCTTGCTTAAACAAGACGCTCTCCTGATTAAACTTGATGTTTTTTGCTTGGAACGCGACAAAAGCTTCAACGATGGCTAAGAAACTCGCTAAGCTATGGATGGATATCTCTCATTTTTCTAGTGGCCAAAGTTCAGCCTGTTAGTCTCTTTCTCATTTATAGTCCTGCAATGAACTCATTCTGTGTTCAGAACCAGTTGTCGCTCTAAAGGGACGTATCACAGTGTTCCTCAAACATCGTTAAAACGTGACCTTGCCTGTTGAGAGGAGAGAGAACTGTTTATTGTTCACCTTTAAACAGGAAACTCCTCGCCAGTTTCATAAATTATCCACCGAGCAAACACCGTGAATACTCAAACTCATTCATCAATAAGTTTCTTCATGAAACAACTGATTCTTCTGAGTAACTGACAAGGAATGAATGACTATTACATGGGAGAGTTGCGAACCAAATCTAGGAGGTACTCACACTGAAGTCTAATTCCCTTAGAAGAGAATAGAAACAATCAAACAAGAAAACTTACGAACAAACCCACAAAGGAAAAAGACAACCTTAGAACACGAGTTACGGAACTAGTCAGGGGGAAAAAACATACCAGCTTCTTAAGTTTCTGTTGGTAAGTATCTGAAGAAGATGCGCCATAACTGCTTCCCTTCAATCCGAGTCCGGCATTTTGGCTTCTCATTTTGGCCTAAAAGGAAAAGAAAAGAGAGAAAGAAAGGAGTACATCATCGAAAAATCGGCTTTAATAAGAAGCTATTTACCCTCTTGACCTTGAGGAAAGTACTAAAGTAAAGTGATACAAGTAACAGTTTACTTTATACTGTCACAAATTAAGTATCCTAAGTAACGCTAACGGCAAAACAGAAACGCAGGAAAATGACAACTCAACTCAACTATACATACCTCGATAGGATCAACAATGCCTTGTCCTTCCCTTCCCAGACCACTCCCCTCAGTCCAGCCCATGGCCTTATTTCCAACACAAACAATAAATTAGTACTGCTTAGTGACAGTTGCCAAAAAGTAAATGCTTTATACAGGGCCATAAAGTTATTTTTGGAAAGATGGCCAGATAATAATTTTTTTACTGAGGGCCAAAAAGTGAAAAGACAACGATGTAAAATCACTCCGTGAAAAGGGAGAAACTCTGCAAACATTCACAAAGAAATTACTTTTAAACTTCCGCTTAAAAACTCAAACATCATAATATGTAATCACCCCCTCCCCCCCGTCTTAAGTAATTAAAATTTAACTTATTTTCCCTCATTACCTTTAACATCTGATTGCCGATATTTTCCCCACCAATTCGCTCAGCTGGAGGCTCAAACGATCTGTGAAAAAAGAAAAGAAATCGTAAATTTAAATATAAAGCCATGAACAACAAGAAGCCAAGCTCGTATTTCCTTACATGCTTCCTCCTCCTCCTCCCCCTCCTCTTCGCCTGGAAGGCAGCCGAACTTTCTGTGCTTCCGGTTGCCCATACTTCTCCCTTCTTTCCCTCGCTCTGTCACGGTACTTACTCTGTTAGGGAGAAAAAAAATTAGACACAACTTGAATAATAAGCTAGTGTGCTTTAAACAGCTTGAATTCAAGTAAGCCACTTTTCAACACACTTGATGGGTGTTATAAATTGATCCTTTCCTTCAGTTTAGTTTCCGTTTCTCTTGACAATTCCACGATTTACGAATTCCTCCATCACAAGTTGCTTCGGTTTGCTCTTCACTTCTTTTTGATAGAAAGCTCTCCAACGAGTTTACCGTTATATAAATTTGAATGTGACAACAAAGTCATCTCTGAATAATAAATGGTTTCCTTGGTGGAGTATGAGTCAGCCAGTCAGAGAGTCATTCAATCGGTCAGTCAGTGAGTCAGTTAGTCTGCCACCCAATCAGTTAGTCAGTTAGTCAGTCAGCCAGTCAGCGAGTCAGTCAGTCTACCACCCAATCAGTTAGTCAGTCAGTCAGTCAGTCAACCAGTCAGTCAGTCGGTCAGCCAGTCAGCCACTTCAGCAGTTAGTCAGCCATCCAATCAGTAAGTCATTCATTCACTCAGTCAGTCAGTCAGCCAATCATTTGGTCAGTCTGACAGTCAATCAGTCAGCTAGCCAGCCAGCCGATCAGTTATTCCATCAGTCAGTCAACGCTGAAAAGACTTACTGTGAGTAGGGTTAGCAAAAGAACTTATGGAATTAAGACACAGACCTCCCGCTCCTGTTTCTCATACGCTTCAAGTTGTTCATCACTCATTCCCATCTTCTTGTGAATCTCTAAGTTTTGCTGTGGAGAGAATCCAAGTTTGTTCAAATTCACACACAAACCGCAGTGAGAAAGCTCCAACATTCAACTTCAAACTTACAACGGGGAATTTGTGCATATGAAATGGCTGCGCGGTAAACGTAGGATTTAATGCCCCATAACAAGTGTAACCACTCGCTGAAATTTTATCTGACATCGTGAAGCCCTTCATTAATAGTTTGGATAACGCGAGGCGGCTAGACCTGTGAGCTGAACTTTTGGTTGTGGTAGAATTAGGAATATAGAGACCGGTTCTCTCTTCTTCCTCATCCAAATTCACCCACAGGAAAGCTTGCTGTGGTTGACTACGTAACTTTGAATATTGTGGTAATCTGATCATCATTACTCTTCTATCACACAGGATTATTCTCATGACAAGAATTCACTTTCATGTCACTATTTTCAATTCCTTCGACAAACCTTTTCACGCTAAAGGTTTGCCAACAAGAGGTACATCCACAATTCAGTTGTATTCCGACACTATTAACACTATACACTATTAACCCTTTAAATTCAACAAGTGATTGGAGTACAACTTCTCTCGATAAAATCCATATATTATCCAGCCAACAGGGCATGAGAATACTCAAACTTATCAGGTAGAAGTTGTTATCTAGATCTAACACCAGCTTGAGGGGAGAATTTACAATCAGATCTTGGGACTAAATGGGTTCAAAGGGAAAAATGCTCCATTAAACGATTACCTTGTGCAAGTCAGAAAATTTTTGATGTCTTTCCAGAGCTTCTTTGTTCGGGAACTGTCGTTTGCAAAGCAAACACGCCATGATACTCAAGTCTGTAAATTTATCATTGATATCGTCTTCTGGATCGGAGTCATCCTCGCCATATTCCGCAACTATGGCACTTTTTGATGGCTCTGAGAAATACAAAAACACAAACAGGAGAGTGTAAAAACATTACATTAATAACAACAAACTGACAAACATTATTTTGATACTCGACTTGGATGGGTGAGCTCTTCATGTTACAGAAATCAGCATCAAATGCGTCAGACCTACGAAAACCTTGTTTCTGCAAGCTCACTTGAACTAGAAACATTGCTAACATAACAATACAAAACTGTGTTTAGCATTCGAGTGTATCAACGAATGCTTTTTATTCAACTAATTTTTGAGACTTGTGTTTTTCATGTTACCATTTTCCCACCAACAGCGTGGCTCCATCTTCCCGCACTTGAAAAAACCACAACCCACTTTTCCTCTCTATTCGCCCTAACGAAGGGCTAACGTTTGAATCGTCAGCTTTAGAAACTATTTAAGGCGGCCAAACAACATTATCAACTCATTTGATACAACCAAATTATCTTGGTTTACCATTCCATACAGAAGCACAAACCTGTTTTAATACCTGCTGTCTTAGTAGCTTGAACCATGCTCAAGGCCGCCAGAGGACTGGACGCTGCCACATTATCATTCACTTCTGCTGGCATTCCAGCCGCAATGCTCTTAGCTATGTTCAGTGATGTTGAAATCTTGGGGGAGGTCCAAATGGCTGGAATAAGTAAACAAAACCATGTTATTAACACGTTGTGAGTTAGAGCCACCTTTAAGAGCACAACGAGCCGTTTCATTAAACTACACTGCTCAAAAATTTTAACCACTAACTTTATCTCTTTGATCCCTTTTACCCTTAAACTCCCATGAGTGACCAAGAGAGAATTTCTCCTTACAATATCAATACGAAATCAAGAAGACAAGTGATGAGAACCAAGAAAAGTATCAGTTAGGGGATTAGTAGTTGATCCAATACCAAATTCTCAGAAGCAACATCAGAAGAGTTGTATAGCAGATGGTAAGAGGAATTACTAATGAGATCTTGGGAGTGATTATCATCCAATTTCTCCTTCCAATATCACCCCTGAATCACACTTTAAGGTCATGAGAGTAAAGGAAATGATCACCAACTAACAAAGCTCTTGATTGTCAAACAAATTCTCTTAGTTGCTAATTTAGGAAATGTATAGTAAGCAGAATGGATAACACACACTCTGATGTTAAAGTATAAAAGTCACATCCAACTTAAATAGCTTAATCAATAGTGCTGCATGTTAAATATCAAAGTTATTAAAAACCACTGATTTCACAAAATTTGAGTGAAGTAATTGCAATAAGAAAGTTTGAAAATGCCCAAAACTCTGCCTCATTTTGTCACCAAGAGTCTGAATAATCCTGCCTATTGCACCTGCCACTATTTACTGTTTCCTAGAGTTTTTTCTCTTTGGGGGTTATCTTACCATTTTAAACACATCTGTGTCAGGTTTTGCTTCCTCTGGTTTTGACACAGGAATAAAAGATCCTTTCTTGGAATCATCAACTTGGGTCTTAGCTGCATTCACAGACTTTGCCCATCTCTCCATGTCCTTTGCAATCTTAGACACAAAGAATTTGAAGAGAAAATAAATTACTAGGGTACTACAAGAAAATCAGAGACTTTTGTGATCAACTTACAAGAAGAGAAAGTATATTCTTGAGTAAACAATACCCTCGGTGGAATCATATTACCAAAACAATAAACTGGACGAGGTCAACATCCTTAATAGTCTTAACCCTTTAATCACTGGGGGTGACTATCTTCTAAATTCTCCCTACATTATTGCCACTGAATCAGACTTAGGTCATGAGAAGAGAGAGAATGATCACCAGCTTAAGAGGTTCTTGGTCATTAAACATATTCTTTTTGTCATTGTGGAAGGAAAGCTATAGAAAATATCAGTGTAAGAGGCTAACTTTTTAACTCCCAACTATGGCTAACTAACCTTCTCCTAACTATGGCTTTATATAATCATTCAGACAAGTGATGAGAATAAAGAAAAATATCAATTATGAGATTACTAATGGACCCGTTACCAAATTCTCCAAACTTACATGATGAGAATCATTTGGCAGACAGTAAGGAGAATTACTAATGAGATCTTCGGAATTAAAGGGTTAAGTTATAAATAAGTTGACACAGACCTTTTTAGCTTGCAATGACTTTGCTTTTTTCTGCTTTTCTGCAATTGGAAAAACAGCCAAAATTACTCATTTTGTTACATATATTCTTTAAAATTCTATCATGAAGGAGTTGAAAAGTCATAAGTGGAATTTTTTTTACATCATAGAAACCATGTGACCTCAACCCTGGCTAAAATCACCCCAAAACAAGGCTTTTATTTACATCTGTATTTTTATCCAGCAAACAGAGAATGCATACTATTTATGTAGCAGGTTTTATGATTTCCTGCACTTATCAATCCAAAAGCAGACAAATTCAGCTTTTCAATACCCTCTTAGACAAACTGGATCTCTTACTAGTATCTATCAACCTCGACTCCATGCAAGAGCTTTGAATCACCCTGGCTAGGTGAAGTTCGTTTCAGTCTGGATGCCTTGGGAAGATATGTCTAGATAAATTGCACCCATTTGAGGATACCACATGAGTTACAACTGTGAGCCACACCACCATTTGATGTTTGCAAATTTAATGATGCCCTGGATTTTATTACCCAGATGCAAAATACCAATTCCTGGGCAACATTATATACAATTTACTTTACTGATCTAAGATAACACCAGTTTGCATCTGCACTTTGATCCAGCAAACATGAAAAGCAACACAAATAATGAAAGCTTATTAGAAGTCACACCTTTGACTGATGCTGCTTCACTGCTGGTGAGGGTTTCAGTAGCACCTGAGCCTGATGCTGCAATGGTCCTAAAATGGTCATCATTGTGACAGAAAAGAAAAGAATTATTAGGAAAGATTCTTCAGACAAACTGAGCTAACACAAATTCAACACATGCAGATAGGACATGCCTACAATGTGAAGCAGCTCTAGGTCACCTATAACGTAACACAACAATTTTTTATTCAAGATAAAATGAAAAAATAAAGTACATCTTGAAAAAGAAGAGACAAAGGTTGGCCCAATGATGTTATCTGCACACAATAACACATTCAGTAAAACTAGCTAAGAGATGAGGTTAAAAACATGCTCAAGTCCATTCTCCAGCAGACTGTTCCACCCATGTAGCATTTACATACAATAAAATATTCAGTAAAACTAGCAAAGAGACTAAGTTTTAAAGACGCTCAAGTCCTTTCTAAAATTTGATAAAACTTCAGGCTTCCCAGCAGAATATTCCACTCATGTAGTACCATACAAAAGGGCTAAATAATTTATACTTAAAAGCATCAACTTCTGGTATATTTACAACTTGCAGTGACTGAACTTACCCATCAGCAGCTACTGGGACATATTGCTTTGTTTCAGCATTCCAATACAGATACTGTCCAGTAGCACTGTTGTAATAATACTGGGGAAACAACAATAAGAAAGGAGACAAGTAGCTGACTCATTTTAATCATTTTTCTGACATTCATGGACATGTATCACAAGCTATTTCAAAATTGCTGTGACCTGCAAGAAACTTATAACTCTTCCATCAGGCCTCATATTTGAAAATGATATTTTTTATTTGGTTTTCCTGCCTCAGTGTGGAAACCTTTAACCCCCAGAAGTGATTAACTTGAAACTTCCCCTTGCAATTCCAATGTTATCTTGCGTAAAGGTTACAAAAAGAGACTAGTTTATCATCCACAGGATGTCATGTCAATGCAACACTGAATTCCCCTACCTAATTTACAAGGAACTGTAGAGTAGTCAGTAGGGAGAAATACTGATATGATCTCGAGTCTTAAAAAGTTAACAAAACCCACTCCATTATGGCCACAAAAGGTAAGGAGAATGGCATAATTGATGTCAATCTATCAATAACCAAGTTATTTTTAATAAAATTCAATACTTATTCCAAAGTAATACCTGAGTATTTGCATCATAATACAACCCTGTTGTTGAATTATAATAATAACCAGAGGATGGGTCATAAACATAGTTTGCAAACGATGGTGATGAAGCCAATGCCTGTGACTGCTGTGACTGCATTGAATCCACCTGAGCTTGGGGTTGAGTTTGTTTCTGGTTCTGTGCATTGCCACCTAAAGACAAGGGTTGTCAAATCAAAGCTAAACACAGTAAAATTTCAGAGGCAAAGATAAATATTACACTTAACATGTACAATGGGTACATCCAAAGCATATTTCAAGATTCTTTTAAAAAGATAATTGTTCCAATCAAAATTTTGTTGTGGAATTCTTAGAGCCAAAGAAGAACAAGATCAAAAAACTTGTTGTGAAGCCTTAATAAACATTATGAGTGCCATTCAGTTCTAGGTACAGTAACTACACGTACTACTTTAAAACTCATGCAAGAGTAAAACAAAATTAGCAAATTCATATCATTTAAAGTTTCAAAATTACAATCACTGGAAAATAATTTACCTTGGACTTTATCAGTTGTTGTCCCTGTACCTAAAGCGATTAAAAAATACACAAATTACAAAAATTCATCACCGCGAAAAAACTTTCACTGATGTCCCAACCCATAAAAATTAGGACGATCATCACTGTGAATCATTGTTGCATATTTCATCATAAAAAGGCACACAAAGGTAGCCATACCTGTGATAGGCTGTTGTTGGTACTGCAAAAGAATTAAAAACAAAGAAAGGTTTTTTTGGTAAATAGAACAGGAGAGATGGTAAGTTTTAAGCTTGGAAAAGAAATAGAAAAAGATGCTTTTACAAAAAAAACATCTTTCTCTATTTCTATACAGCTTTACTGTAGATGTGTAATTGCTAAAATCCAGTAGCATCTATCGTGTAACTCTTCATATACATGTAATCTAAGAAGAAAATCAATTTATCTTAATTTTTTGATGAGGTAAAAGTGATGTCAGAGCCTTACTTGCTGCTGCTGGGTTGTAGCCTTTGCATCATAAGTTGGCAAGGTAGCAGCTTGGCTGGCAGCTGTCACTGTACCCATGTTGCCGGCAGCCTGTGCTTGAGCCATGGCATTAGCAGCAACAGTACTAGAGGAAACCTGAGGCTGAGATCCGATGGCTGTCTGTGACCACTGTGCCTGTTCAATGGCTGCTGATGCTACTGAAGCACTGCTGAAGGCAGAAAAAAAGTGCAAATATGTCCTCAACATCTCTTAGAAGTTTATACTACACAAAAATCTCATTTATCCAACTTGCTTCCTCTCACTCTATGAGTAGAACCAACCAAAAAAATTCCACTTACATAGTATTTTTTGGAGGATTATCATGATGGGCATAAGATGCCGTAACAATTCTACCATCAATAGTAAAAGGGGGGTGCATGTTAGTGATGATTTCCAGTAACTGACTTGCTTCCTGGACAAAGAAGAATGATATGTCTCATGTCACTAAATTAATCTTAATCATGCAGTTTATTACAAATCTGTGTCAGGGTTGGCACCTCATCACACCTACAAACTTAAAATACATTCAAGATATAGCTAAAGTAAGTTGCAGGAGGCATGTGCTGGCAGGTTTAGTGAACTCAAGATCTCAAAGGGTTTGGGATTTTTTTATTTTCTTCTTGACAAAGATACTTTTCTTTCAGCACTCCTCCCTAACCAGGAGTATAAACAGGAGCTGGTTAACAGTCAGAAAACCAGACAAAATGTTTGGGGGAGGGGAGAGGAGAGGAGAGGAGGGTTAACAGGTAGTGGATAAGCATCTGGGCTAGTAAATTTTAGAAATCACCAACCCGGTGGCTAGTAATGCAGGTAGCCAGGTGTCGAACCCTGAGTGGCTGATTCACTTCAAAGATAAAAATTTCCAATAGGTATTCATGACATGCCAATCACATCCATTATATATCACTTCAAGGAATTGGTTTTACATCAACGCCAGATGATTGATAATTATTGCCTTGTGGCAATAGCCACAAAAAGCAGGATCAGAATTTTCTCATTTGCTTGATTTAAAAAGTATGGTAGTTGCATATCCAAAGTAGATAATATGTTACATGTTGTCATATGTACCTCAACTGAACCAAGCTCAACAAAACAGAATCCTCTTGATGTGTTAGTTAATTTATCTCTAATGAGACGCACATCATATACAGGAAGAGCTGTGATCTCCACAAGGGCTTTTCGTATCTGAAAGTCAATAACACACCATAGATAATGAATGAAGCAATTATTTAATTTCACTATTTGTGTCTGAAAGTAATTTGTCACATACAATAACTTTGGACTCTAGTACAACAAGAAGACAGACACATCAACTCATGATTATCAAATTTAAAAAACTATGGAGTGAGGGGCCTTATGCTTTGCTTGATGCTACAAGGAAAGATAATGACGATAATCACAATCGTGTTGATTTCACACTAGTGTCGTAAGCAAATCTTACCGCTTCATCATTAGTAATTGTATCCAAGCCCCTTAGAATCAGCACTGAAATAACACAGAAACAAAAAAATTATGTCATTATTTTAGCCCAGACCTATAAATTCAATGCTAAGTGCTACATACCTTTTCAGTGGTAACTCACACATGTATATATCTTATCTAAAATTTTGTTTGATTTTATTTGTCTACCAACGAGAAAATTTTGTTACAATGGCAGAAACAAAACACTTAACTCCATGAAGACTCTCAAGTTGAAGTTGTTGCAAGTTAGATTGAAATGGAAAAAAATTCAAAAATTTTACCTTTACATGGATTATTTGAAATTTCCTTATCATCCCCTAAATCTAAATAAGAGTAAAAAAACAAGTGTAAGGTATCTTTCCCTGCCTATTTTTGACCTCTGACAAACTTCACAAACTAATTATTGTTATAAAAAAGTACATGCAGAGTGTGGTGTAAAAGAGCTTAGCAAACGAGAACATTAATTGGACAAACAACAGGTGAAATGCAACAGAGATGACAGCATAAACAGAGTTGGTTAATACAACATTTCTTATTTTTCCAGAAGGAGCCTAAAGAATACTTAGGACAGCTACTTCTCCGAGTTAAGATGTCTGAAGGGGCTTGACACACAGTGATGCTTTAACTCCCAAGATCTGATTGATAACTCTTCCTACTGGCTCCTACACATTTCCTTGTAAATTAGTTGTAAGAATTTGGTAAAAGATCAAGATAAAAACTTCTACATAATAAGGTTTGAGTTTTCTCATTACCTGTTTGTGAGGTAATGTATGGATAATTTATAAAGAAGTTACATCTTGATCACTTCTGGGAGTTAAGGGTAAAAGACCACTAATGCATACTTTAGGATACATATGTAGCAGATAAGACTTGTCACTAACCAGCAATACTACTCTCTTTAGGTGCTCCACACTTAAAGCACGACAGACGCCTCTTTGAGGAAAAATTCTGACCACCACACTGTTTGAACAACACAAAAATGATTAAGACAGGATCTCAGAGCTTTTTTAGGTATTTACTTTAATATCACATTGCATGTATATTCAACAACCATCTTTATGAGACACCATGTACATCCAAACCAACACTATATTTTACACATTTCTAATAATTTGCTGACCTGTTTCATTTTAGGCAAGCATGGAAAGAGATGACCATTCTTTTAAGAGCATAGAGCTGATGCTTCAACCCAAAACATCTAAGCCCAATTTTTCAAAGGACAGATAACACTATCCTATAGAAAGCTCACTGTCAAGCAGGGAAGGGTAATTGAAACCATTGTACTGTGCTATCCACCTGATACATCCATTGAATAGCATTATCTAGACTTTAAGCAACTGACACATGCCTATTAGGCAGGGCTCATTGAATTTCTTTTTATAAAACCGCCTTGGCCAACAGCATATGAAGGAGATATTTTATCTTTTGCTTTATATTTTACAGCATCAGCTACTGGGAAGCTAGACAGTATTAAATCTCACCTTACTACAAATCCAGTCCTTATCTGCTACAACTGAGGCAGTTTTAGGTCTGCTGTAATCAGCACAGACTCTGTGTCCACGTACATTATACCTTCCCTAACCGAATACCCAAATAAAAATTTTAATATTTATTACACAACTCACTTATCATTGAAATTAATTATTCAAACTACACTGCTAAAAAAATTGATTCAACAAGCTCATAATAAGAACACTGCTGGCCTCAAATAAACCTGTTTTTATGAGGTTAAAAAATCCCTCTTCCCATAGCATTAGTATAACATTCCTCTCTAATTTAAGCAAATCAAACACCATCCTGACAGTGAAAAGAAATTTAAAATAACCACACTATCACAAAAAATCAGAAATTTCTATTAATTCCCCCACTTCATTCTTGAATAAGCTCCTTTCCAAATGATGTGCACCTCTCCCTTAAGCCCTCCTCTCTGACAAGCTCTTCTGACAATTTTTCCTAGTGCTTGTTACAGTGTTTTCTGCACCAATGAAAACCAATATACAGTTGTGTACATTTGCAAAAATAGATATGTACAAATATTTTGCTTGACATACCTTGTGAAGTTCCATCCAGTCCTGCGCATCAGAGACACTTTTAAACTCTAAAAAACCAAACCCCTTGGAAATACCTGTAATAAATGTGATATAACATTTTAAGAAATTTGAGGTTAATATCAAGTAGTTTATTGTACTGCACTACAACATAACTTGTTTGCTTTGAATTAGCTGGCTTTTGAAAACAAATGTATGGCTTATGAGCATTTCCATGGAAATGATCCACATAGCAAAATCCTGACCAAGTAGGAATTAATCAGAACACCCAGATTTACATTAGGACTATCTTGCCACATACTAAAGCTGGATATTGACCTTGTTCCAAAGAAAAACAGCCAATACACATGTAAATACAACAGATCAAAGTCCTTACCACTTCTATGGCGAACCACTCTCAGATCTAAGAAGTCAGTACCATCCCTTTGTAACTCATCTACCATCTAGAGGTAAAGAATCAGATTTACTTATAATACAACTCTCTTCATTCCTAAGAAATTTAAATAACTTTTGCAGTTATGAGGCAATGGCCCAATCTTAACCTTAAGGTCACTGGCTCAGCTAGTAAACTTGGTTTTTTTATATTGTAAAATTGGTTGGTCACTGCTATAAATAACACTTTAAAAAGAGAAATGTAATCATTTGTCTCACAATGTGGTCGCTATAGGATGTAGATCACAACATTTCCATTGCATACTGCTAGTCTTCTTCAGGTGATGAGGTTGATTTACTACGAGTCACCTATATGCTGAAGTGCTCAGCTATGATTGGACGGAACTCCACAGCTGTGACTGGTGCTTGTTTGTTTGCTTAACTCATTTCTGATACAGTTGAGCATGAAACTGACAGTAAGTACTTACATCTTCCTCTCTGAAGTCCTTATCAAGCCCATGTAGAATAATAACACTTGTTGGTTCTTCCTGCCTGCTGTCCTGAAGTCTTCTGTCATCTCCATCCCTGTCACGAGAGTGGTATCTACTGCGTGAAGACTCCCTGTCCCCATAATCTCTATCACGGTCACTGCGATCATGCTAAATTCAAGGTCATTGATAACAAAGATTATTTAGCTGTGTACAGAAACACAAACACTGCTTGTGTTGGAGATGAAACTGATCCAAAAGATTCTTGTTCATATTCTTGTTTTGAAGTCTTCAATGATAGATAACTTCCTGAGTTTTGAAATAAGTAAACTCTTGAAAACAATTAATCGCTGTGTCAGGTAGTCAATGAAATACACTTAAAAAGATGATTAAAAAAATTAACTCATTCCACTCTGCAAAGTTTTGTGATAATTTAGATTACTGATCCAGATTCAATTTGTAGGATCTGTACCACTTACATGCATATAATATTTGTATAGTGTCCCACATTTGAAAACATTGCTCATAGTGATATTTGAATTATGTGGGGAAAAAAATTTAACTTTTGACAAGCTTACAAATTTCCATCATATTTTATCAATAACAGGATGTAAATCATTTCACAAGATAAGGAACAAGTGTACAACTTCATCACTGTGATATCCATCATTCCTCTTCCAGTCTCTGCTGCTGTATCCTGTTCTGTCTCTGTTATCGTAATCCCAGTCGCGATCTCTATCATAGCCTCTATCACGATCACGGTCACGATCGCGGTCACGATCCCTGTCAAGGTCTCGCTCTCTAAGTCTTCCATAATCTTTACCACCATCAAAGTCACCAAGGCGATCTTGCCGATCATGATCATAACGGTCTCTGCCCCAATCTTGGTTATTGCGGCTGTCACGATCGTAGCGATCTCTGTCATGAGACCGATATCTATCTCGATCACGATCTCTACTAATTCTCTCTTTATCATGGTCATTATCCCTGTTTCTTTCTTTATAATAATCTCTGTCACGCCCAAAAGGATCAGCTGCATCACCACGCCTTGTATCTGGACTTCTGCGACGCTCATCTCTGTCTGTTCTGATGTCCCTAAAGCGGCTCAGCTCGCGTCCAATGTCACGTTCAAGGTCACGTTCTCTGGAATCCTTATTGCGGCCATTACTTCTGTAGTCTGAACTTCTCCTCAGATCACTAGGTTCATCTGTCATCCTACATCAGTATTTTAAACCAAGGATGGAAAAAGCGAGTTTAGACTGAAGAAACACAGTTCACTGACCTTACTCACCTTGCGATATCAAAACAACCTTTGACTTTATGACCTTGTGACCTCTACAATAAGTCCCTGATGAACCCTAATGGAATATTCTTACAAATTTGTTTGCTGCAAACCAATGGAATCCCAGCAACCATGCCTTGGGATCATGAAGCAGTGAAAGGTCAGAGGTCAAGCTGTTAGGTTGTAAGGTTTCACAAACTCAATTGTGATTTCTGATGCCAAATCCACAAAATGCAATTCCCATTTTTGATGCACGAATATCCATGAATAGTACAAAAAGATGCTGATGAAATCTTTACTCTTTCAACGTAATAGTCACCATTTCATATGCAGCAAACTACAGTACATGAATACTGCATGGATACAAAACAAACCACATTGCACAACACTGAATTATGTTAGACATAAAGTTCAGAACCTTTCAGCGGTGTCTTCCCGCCTAATGTCCATTTTGTTAGCTTCTGAATAAGGAAACTGTCCGCCGATAAACTTGGAACTGAAGATCGGGAGCGACCTACAAATCCTTCGATCGACCAACTACAACAGTGACCTGAAATTGATACGAGGATAAATGTTCAGTAAAACGATCTAATGAGGTAAAATGCAACCCAAAAACAAGGTTCGGAATGTTCATCTCTTTCGACACGAGGACAAGGATGCTATTTCCACGTAAAGTGCACGCTGAGAGAAAAGTGATGCCAATAGTCCCAAGATGGCGGCGAGGAGTAACGAGCCAGCGTGGCTTTCTGCAGACAGATCCGAGTCACTGCGAGCGAAAGACCTGTGGATAAAAAGTTAGCTAAAAGAATTCACGGCAGTTTTTAGTTCTCAATACAAACCTTTCGTTTATTGGCAAAAGCGAAGGATAATTTCAGTTACAATTAGCTCTCATGTGTCTTGTTTTTGATAATTATTCTATGAGGTACGGATGCTCAGCCTTCACACGACTGGTTACTAAGCAGGTTTCCCGCGCATGTCTTCAAGACACTCAAAACAAGATGGCGGAGGAAACTAAAGGCAGCGGTTCAAAGGTATTTCAAACGAAAACCCAAGAATCTTTGATCACTTTATATAATTTGGTTCCTCCAGTTGTTTAATTTTTGTAGGCGATCTCGTTCAATTTGTTCCAAATTTTTGATCGAGAAATTAAGTTTTTGATTGTGCAAATGAAATGTTATTAAATATCATGTAATTTAATTAAGATGATAAATTTCACTGATTGATTTATTTTCGCGGTATGATTGATTATACCAATTTCAATTTTTAAGAAATAAGCCTTCAATAGCATTGGAGTGATACGGGGATTTGAGCCGGTGATCTCACGCTCCTGCTCTAACTAACTGCGCCGTGAAGTCACTTCAAGTCCAGTTGTTTGTATGTCAGTTGCAGCTGATTTTTTTGCTGTGAAATCGATGAAATAAGTTTTAGAGTTTGATGAATCATATGTGATGAACTGTTGTGATGAAATGAAATGACTGAATGATCTTTGCTATGAATTACACAAAATTGGAGCCAAGGGGAAAAAAAAAAATTAAGAACCTTCATTTCTTCCCTTTCATTACACATACTTGCATGTACCCGATTTTGATCAACCCCCCTTATCAAGAGGTTCAGGGGTTTCAAAATAAGTCAGTTACCGCTGAGGTTCTGCCAGTTACTTGATAACATGTCACTGGTTACTCTGGTCAAAATTGTTACCTTTTGGCCTTACTGAACTTTTTCAAAGTCACCTACTTTTGCTGAGTCTGACACCTTCAAAACATTTTGAAACCCTTGGAGGCTCCCTATATTAGTCATTACAATAGTGAATCAGGGTGTATCCCAAAATCTTAGGATCAAATCATGTTGAATTCTAAATTTGTTTTCCATATTTTCATTCTATTCTGAAGCTCAAGGAGGTAGCTCGTAAATTTAATGTCCTACCTGAAAGACAAGCAAAGGTGAATTACATGATTGCAGCACGAGAGAAGGTAGAGGCTGCAAAGGTAAAAGTACCCATCCTCCAGTCTAGAAATTCAGCACAAGTTATTAATTGTACCTTATAGCTGTATTTATTTCTTCATTTTCAACAGTATTTATCATAACCTGCTCTCTCTACCTTTTGTTTTAGCAATAGATCTATTAGTCATTTGCTCTGCTTGCTATACTTGCTGTGCTTGGTTATGTATTAGTTAATTTAACTTTGAAATTGTAACTGCATAGCTATTATATCATTTAGCTTAACCCTGAAACTCCCAGAAGTGATTAACAAGTAACTTCTTCCTTCAATTTCTAAACATTATCCAGCAAACAGGTAATGAGAGTATTCAATCTTATCAGATAAAGTCGCTATCTAGATCTGACACCAAATTCTTGTAACTTATTTACACATTAAGGAAATGTGTAGCAGCTAGAGGGGAAAATTAATAATCAGATCTTGGGAGTTTAAGGGTTAATGTTCGTTCTTAATTTTTCCAAATACCTGCAAAGATTAGCCAATGCTATACCTTGGTTGTGTAAATTGTGATATTGGAATCTGTGCTGCAGTAAAGTAGTAGTAGATGTAGTAATAGGTAAAGTCTATTCTTATTTTAGTAATATTAATGATTCTGAATTGTAAGTGACTTTAATTCATACACTCAGATATCACCACTGATTCTCATTATGCTTGTAATTTAGGAAGAAAAGTCCAAGAAAGACGATTCAGCATATTGTGTATGTGGAACAAGTGACACCAGTCGCTTTATGATGTAAGTACTGATCACCATGTGGCTGAACAATAGAGAGGGGGATTTAGTGTCTGTGGGGTACAAGAGAAAAAGAAATTGTTTTGTCTCTAAGCAGATGAAATAATGTGACCATGCAAACATTAAGTTAGAACATGGCCTTGTAAACTGGAAAAAGATCCAGCCGCAAGCAGGAAATTCTAATGTTAGCACCCAATTGAAGAATGGTTTCTTTGTTTTCCTTCATTGTAATGTCTCATTACTAATTTACAAGGAAATGTGTATCAGCAAGAGTGAAGAATTTATGATCAGATCTTGGGAGTTACAAAGGGGCATCAGATCATTTTCTGTAATCATACGCTTCTCTAAGTAGTGACACTTAGAGAAATTGTGTGTTGTTAAAGGGGTTAAGGTTCTAAAGGAACTGGGGTGCTGCATTGGTAGGAGAGTATAACAGGGTAATTTAGAACTGGTATTATTAACTGAGTTGATGACATAAATTGGCCACTGTAATGAGTTTAAAAGCTGTTGTTTCGAGTGTTAGCCATTCATCAGAGCAATTGGAGGAATTGGGGTTGTGTGTGGGTTTATCTGCAGAAAATGGATCTATACTATTGATGGGAATATGGTGACAAAAGCACAAGAATAAATTGGCGGTTTAAAAGTGCCGATTTGGAAGAGAAATGTTTGTTATAGAGTTTTGCAGCTTTCCAAACTGCCTAGATATAGGAAAAGGTCGCAAACAGTCATGTGCTGCTTAGAGTGGTTAGGGAGATCAAAGTGTCTAGCAACTGGTTTGGATGTGTCTTCGTCATTTCTTTCTATGTTGCGAAGGTGTTCTCAGAATCAGTTACCTGTCATCTTCCTGTTTCACCAATGTATAACTTTTTGCAATAAGTGCAAGTTATGCAGTAAATGACATTAGCAGAGATGCTCATAAAGTGATCAGTGATCTTAATAGATCTCTTGGGTCCCTGACATTTTCTCTCCACTTTGAAGAATGAAAGGACAAGTTTTGCACCATGAGTGAGTGCATTTGAAAGTCCTAGCCATTGTTTTGAAATGAACTCCTGACCAGAAGGTTGCCTATGTTTTTGTCGCATTTGAATGAAATTAGTGGAGTTTGTGAAAATATAGTACCAGTCTCTGAATTGTTTTGAAGCAATTTAAAGTTTTTAAGAATGATAGATTTAACTGCATGGTTGTGAGGGTGAAATGTAAAAGTGAATGGAATTCAAATTCAAATTGTGTGTTGTTACTTTGGTAAGCATGCAAACAACATTAATTTAATTTTGCCAGAGCTGGTGAGTGTACTGGTACTGGTACATTACTATATATTTTGTAACTGTCTCTTGCTCAGATGTTGTGACAGATGTGATGAGTGGTTCCATGGAGACTGCATTGGCATAACAAAGCTGGAGGCTAAAGAAATTAAGCAGTATTACTGCGCACAATGTTTAGGTGAGTCATTATCTTAACTCGTTGACCCCCTAAAAGTGATAAGCATTGAATTTCTCCCAATAGTGCTATCCCTGAATCAAACACGAAGGTCATGAGAATAAAGGAAATGATCAGGAACTCAAGAGGCTCTTCATTGTGAGACTAGTTCTCCTGGCTTATAACTATCATCATGCGTGAAGAACAGTGGAGAGAATTTGTGTACTAATGTGATGGTTTAATTTAGTTTAACCCTTTAACTCTCATAAGTGACCAAGACAGAATTTCTCCTTACGGTATCAATATAATATCAACCAGACAAGTGATGAGGATATTTAGAAAAATATCAATTTGGGGATAATTAATTGATCCGATATTAAATTCTCTGAACTAACATTATAAGAATTATATGGTTAACAGTAGGGAAAATTACAAATTTGATCTGGGAGTTAAACGGTTGAGATGACATTGTCCATTCAGCCATTATGCTAAGGCAAAATGGTGGATATTTTCAATTTAGAAGTAAAAATGCAGTCATTTTAAGGTGCATTTACCCTTTTATTTGTTTCTTGCCTCAGAAAAGGACCCAGACTTGTGTATAAAGTACAGGCTCAAAAAACCGAAACCTGAGAAGAGAGACAAAGTTCCCTCAGAGAAGAAAGAAAAGCAGCACAGTTCATCAAAAGATGATGTAAGTGATCTGTTTGAAGGTTCTTTTATTTGTCTGTTTCATTTTTTTTTCCATTTGTTTTTATCTTTTTCAAACACACTAAAAAATTGAAACAATTTTGACAAGATGAATGTTTATGTTCCCTGCAGAGTGAGCGTAAGAGATCAAGGAGAACATGTGGTGAATGTGTGGCATGTGTTAGGACAGAGGATTGTGGACAGTGTGACTTCTGCAAGGTACTGTGTTACTAAACAGAATCTTTTACAAGATGAAGCCCCTCCTTCAGAAAGTTTTACTTAAATTCAGTGAAACATTCTTGCCTTATTTCTCCTCCTGATCTGCTCCAAAGTTTGGGAAAAGAAGAAATTAGTTTTTAAGGAGAACTAAGTGAGTTCCTGTGTGACAGAGAGATTAAATGGCTGACTGACTGACTGACTGACTGACTGACTGAATGAATGACTGAGTGACTGAGTGACTGAATGACTGACTGACCAACTGACTGACTGACTGAATGACTGACTGACTGAATGGCTGACTGACTGAATGGCTGACTGACTGAATGGCTGACTGACTGAATGAATGACTAAATGGCGGACTGACAGACTGGCTGACTGACTGACTGACTGGCTGACTGACCAACTGACTTGCTGACTAACTGACTGTCTAAATGCCTGACTGCCTGCCTGATGGACTTACTGACCAACTGACTGACTAACTTGCTGACTGGCTGACCAGCTAACTGACTGACTGGCTAACTTACAAAGTGAAAGGAGAATTCTATTAACTAACCACCAGTCTAACAGCTACATGGCTATGTTATTGTCAGGTTGCCTCAAAAAGTGAAAAACTGGTTTTGTAAGCTTTCATCTGTTCTTTTTAGGATATGAAGAAGTTCGGTGGCCCCAACAAGATGAGACAGAAATGTCGCTTACGACAATGCCTTCTGAAATCAAGAGTAAGCAAGGCTATTAATATTCATGCACTTGTTGCCATGTAGCATGTAGCTCCATTTTCTGCATATAAACACACACACAACTCACAATTCCTCCAACTGCTATGACAAAGGGCTAATGCTCAAAATGTCAGCTTTGAAACTCTTTACGGTGGCCAATTTACATATCAACTCAATTGACAATACTTAGTTACCCTTTTATCCTCTCCCACCGACACAGCACCACAGTTTCTTTAGAGAATTAATCCCTTTATTCAAGCAAACTAGTAGGTTTGTAGTTGTAATTAACATAATGTTGCTTTAACCCTTTAACTCCCATGAGTGACTAAAACAGTATTGCTCTTCACAATGTAAATGCAATATCAACCAGATAAGTGATGAGAATAAAGAAAAATATCAATTTGGGGATAATTAGTTGATCCAATACTAAATTCTCTGAACTAACACTATAAGAATTGTATGGTTGACAGAAAGGAGAATTACAAATTTGATATGGGAGTGAAAGGGTCAACCTAATAGTAACTTGTTTTATATCAGGTTCTTCTACGAGGTGGCACAGCTTACAGGGACATGTTGAAAGATGAAGAGAGTAGAAGGGAAGATGGCGATATCGATATTGAGGTACACAGCAAACTTATTATAAGATTTTTTGGTCTCCCTTTATTTGAAGCCTTCAATTGTGCAACATACTACAAAAAAGGTTATTCATTTCAATCTCCTTAAATCTGTTGCTAGTCTAGCACTTATGAACCTCCGATTTTTACCAGAAACTGTAGCACTTAAAGCATTCAGTTGCTAAGTAATTAGAAATAAATATTTATATAATAAGCTCAGTTAAGCATGCATTCTGATTGGTTCTCACTTATGATCTATTGGAGGACAGATGTATAGATGACATCTAATCTCAGAATTAAGTCAATTCTGTGCAGAAAACTTTCTGTAAAGTTATCACACACTAACATTTCTTTTATTCTTGGTAACAGAGTATTTTTCCACTGAGAAAACAACGGAAAGCAGTGAAGATGAAACATGCCAAGTCTTCAGAGAGTAGGAAGGTTTGTCAATTCTGATAGCATTCTGAGTATCTTAGCTAACCAAATGACAAAAAGATTGCTGCAATAGAGATAGTTTTATATTTGTCAAGATAGTAAAACAGCTTGCTAAATGGCTAAACTTTGATGCCCCTTGTCAAAAATACCAGATGGTATTAAGGATCAAATTTTTTTGTTAAACAGGAGAAGCTGAGGCAAACCAGTGAGAGGGCACGCAAAAGAAAAAGGATCATGTCAAATGAAGAAAAGAGTAGACTTTCTACCGAATATTGTGAAGAAAGAGAAAGGGAGGAAGTACGGCAGTGTTATGGTCCGGGTTGCACCAATGCAGCTCGTTCTGGCTCAAAGTATTGTAGCGATGAGTGTGGCATTCAGCTTGCCGTCAGGTAAAAATGCTGACAAATCTCATAGATCTGAATTGTAATAGATTGCAGGTAAATTCCAATTTAGATTAAATACATCAAGATTATGGTAACTTGTGATGGTAGACAGTAGAGAAAAAGTTTTCATTTGGATGGTCACACACTTCAGGTGCATTACAGAACTTGTAATTTTTAATGAAAAAAAAAGAAAATAGTCATGCAGATGTATGCACCATACCAGTGTAAGGCAGTGGAGCCTACCTAGGATCTGGGTATGCTTCTTTTCTGAAATTGCTTAGCCCTTTAACTCCCATGAGTGACTGAGAGAGAATTTCTCCTTACAATATCAATACAATATCAACCAGACAAGTGATGAGAATAAACAAAACTATCAATTTGGGGATGATTAATTGATCCCATACTAAATTCTCTGAACTAACATTATAAGAATTGTAAGGTTGACAGTAAGGAGAATTACAAAGTAAGTCTGGGAGTTAAAGGGTGAAATTGGAGCTCACTTGCAAGGATCATTTCTTTACTTAAAAGTTATAAATGAAAGCAAAACATCGAGTAGTCTTAACTATTGAAAAAATTAGATCAATATTCTATATTCCAAAAGTTCTAAAATTTTTCTCACTTTAGACGCATTCAAGAGATTTTACCTCAGAAAATGGCTCAATGGCAAAAATCTACAAGTGTCGCTGATATCAAAGCTGAGGAATATCTGCAAAAACTGGCAAAAAAGAAGGAGGTACAGTCTATGTTTACATGAAAAAATGAGATGTTTTTACCAATTTCTACCCTTCCTGGCTTTGACAGAAGCATTCTGTTCCTTTCAGGAAGCTCAGGAGAAGTTGATGGAACTTGACAGACTGAGTAATGAACTTGATGCTTTTATAGAGAAGACAAAACATGCTACAATAGAAGAATCAGAGGTACAAATATTTTAAGTGGGTGAATCAATGCCAGTCACTAAAATGCTGAAATGTTGTCAATCTTGTATTCCAGGCTTAGAGAGCGATAGACTTTCGTGATTTTGAAAGAGTGTGATTTGTGATTCATCTGTCAAGATACTTAGGAAATGGAGCAGATTTCCAAGCTATGGTTGGCAAAATATCAAATCCTTTTTAATCATTTAACCTCTGAGAGTGACTGGCAATCAAGAATAAGGGAAATGATCACCAATTCAAGAAGCTCTTTATTGGTTAACAAACTCTCCTTTTCAGTATTTAAGGAAATGTATAGAGAACAGTATGGAGAATATGATTACTGATGTTAGAGTGTAAATGTTTAATGTTCATAGAGCTTAAAACAAACCAAGATAATGAAACACAATTGAAGGTATTCCCAAAATATGTTGTTCTTACCAAAAACTACTTTGTACAAGGTTATGTTCAAGTAAATTATCATGGTCTGTTCTTTGTCAGGCACAAGACACTGAAGTAGAAGGTGAAACAGATCTTCAAGTCCACTGCATCACCTGTGGACTACCATTAGCTCCTAAAGTTGCCCTCAGACATATGGAGAAGTGTTACATGAAGGTTCATACAGACTTCTGCATTCAGTCCCAGCTTTACAACTGTAATATAATCAATACCCATAGCTTTACTTTGCCCATGAGCACCTTTCCCTCCCACCCTGTCTTCTTCCCCTCTGCATCATGCCTCTAAACAAGATAATTTGGTTTTATCAACTACAAGGATGACGTAAATTGGTCACTGAATCAATCATCAGCCCTTTGCTATTCACTCTCACGAAGGGCTAATACTCAAAACATCAGCTTGAGAAACTCTTTGTGGTAGCCAATTGCAATTTGCATTACTAATTCATCTGATGAAACCAAAGTTTCTTGTAATACCTCTTACCAATGCAGCACCACACATTCCTTAAAATTTTTCCCCTTTATTCATGTCTGTGAACAGTTTAGAACTTGAGAGTTCAACATGATCGAGTAAGTGGCCATAACATGACATTACTGATAACTTAAGGTACTTGGGTTCTGCTCTCTTACAGAATGAAAGCTTAACAACATTTGGTTCCATTTACAAAAGTGCTGGGTATGTGTTTTGGTTGTTGTAACTGCTCTCAGGGGTAACCATTTAGAGAGAATGGTTGTTGTGTTGTTTTTTGACTTTGTTTGTTCTGAACCTTTGCTTAGGACTGATATTTTATGCTTCAATTTTTCAGGAACTTGTTCTGTGATTATTACAACCATCAGCAAAAGATTTACTGCAAAAGACTCCGAGTTCTGTGCCCTGAACATACAAAGGAACCAAAGGTATCATCATGCTTTTGAGACATATTAAGTAGTTTTCACTCGTTTGCATATCATAACTCTGTAAAAATCTTAAAAGCCCCGCTCAATATGTAATATGTGAACTAACTGCTCACTTCTTAAAGAATATTGAAGACCTACAAATACTTTTATTTCAAACTTTTTAATTCATGGTGGATAAATGCAAAAATTAGACAAAACTCTCAGAACAGGTTTTCATTTAGAGCAACGACCTTCATGACATCATTATCAACAGATTCCACTTTCTTTTTTCAAGATCTCTGCCACTGATGTTTGTGGCTGTCCTCTAGTCACTAATGTCTTTGAAGAAACAGGAGATTTCTGTCGGGCTTCAAAGAGGAGATGTATGAAACATTATTGCTGGGAGAAGTTACGCAGAGCAGAGATTGATTTACAACGAATACAGCAGGTTTGTCTTTTCCTACTTTTCATACCTGAAAGAAATTTAACTTGTCTGTAAGTTCTCACATTATTGAAATAATTTTAGTCTTCTTATCTGACCTATTTTTTGTTTCATTTCAGTGGCTAAAACTTGAAGAGGCATTTGAACAAGAACGGTCCCTCAGATATGCTGCAGCACAAAGAGGAGGAGTACTGGGTCTACTGCTGCATGAGACAACATGCCATGAATAAAACAACCTCCTGCAACATTTTGAAGACTTTGTAATAAAATAAATCATTTTCTTTACAATTTTGTCAACATTGCCTTTATTTTTAAGACAATCATTCCTGATGCAGAAATGTTGGTAGAACAATTATAGTTTCTATGAGTGGAAAGGGGCCATCGTAAGTAAGCTGGTTAGGGTGTTAAGTTATACATCCACTTGTGGAATCTAACTGCGAGCCAGTCAAATCCGATTATCACACATTGATCTTTAAGGGAAGGTTACAAGTTCAGTCTTAGATACTTACTGAAGGACAGAGGCTGATTACTACAAAACCTCCTGAAAAATCACCTGTTAAATTTACTCTGCAAGATATCTTCCCTTATTCCTAATGGTCAGTGCACTGGACTCTGGGTTGAGAGGCCTGGGTTCAAGACCTGGCTGGGACATTGTGTTACGTTCTTGAGAAAAACACTTTACACAGTGCTTGTCTCCACCCAGGAGTGTAGACAGGTACTGGTGAATTGTCAAGGAAGCCTGATGAAATACTGGGCAGGTACCCTTGCAATGGACTAATGTCCCATCCAGTAATAATATTCTAGGAGTATAAATGGGTACGGGTGAATTTTCAGGGACGCCTGATGAAATTCTGGGAGGGTAACCTTGCGATGGACTAGTGTCCAATCAAGTAACAATACTCCAGGAGTATAAATGGGTATGGGTGAATTTTCAGGGAGGCCTGATGAAATGCTGGGCGGGTAACCTTGCAATGGACTAGTGTCCCATCAAGTAATAATACTCCAGGAGTATAAATGGGTATGGGTGAATATTAAAGGAAGCCTGATGAAATGCTGGGAGGGTAACCTTGCAATGGACTAGTGTCCCATCCAGTAATAATACTCCAGGAGTATAAATGGGTATGGGTGAATTTTCAGGGAAGCCTGATGAAATGCTGGGAGGGTAACCTTGCAATGGACTAGTGTCCCATCAAATAATAATACTCCAGGAGTATAAATGGGTATGGGTGAATTTTCAGGGAAGCCTGATGAAATGCTGGGAGGGTAACCTTGCAATGGACTAGTGTCCCATCCAGTAATATTACTCCAGGAGTATAAATGGGTACTGGTGAATTGTCAGGGGAGGGTAACCTTGAAATGGACTAGTGTCCCATCCAGTAATAATACTCCAGGAGTATAAATGGGTATGGGTGAATTTTCAGGGAAGCCTGATGAAATGCTGGGAGGGTAACCTTGCAATGGACTAGTGTCCCATCCAATAATAATACTCCAGGAGTATAAATGGGTATGGGTGAATTGTCAGGGAAGCCTGTTGAAATGCTGACAGTATAACCTTGCAATGGACTAGTGTCCCATCCTGTAATAATACTCCAGGAGTATAAATGGGTACAGGTGAATTTTTGGGGAAGCCTGATGAAATGCTGGGCAGGTAACCTTGCAATGGACTAGTGTCCCATCAAGTAATAATACTCCAGGAGTATAAATGGGTATGGGTGAATTGTCAGGGAAGCCTGATGAAATGCTGGGAGTATAACCTTGCAATGGACTAGTGTCCCATCCCGTAATAAAACTTCAGGAGTATAAATGGGTACAGGTGAATTTTTGGGGAAGCCTGATGAAATGCTGGAAGGGTAACCTTGCAATGGACTAGTGTCCCATCAAGTAATAATACTCCAGGAGTATAAATGGGTACAGGTGAATTTTTGGGGAAGCCTGATGAAATGCTGGGAGGGTAACCTTGTGATGGACGAGTGTCTCATCCAGGGGGAGTAGTACCAATACTCCTGGTCACTTTACGCAACATGGAAACTGGAATAAGCTCTGGCTGGGTGGGCCAACACACTCAAGTGCGGACTTTACTTTGTCTTTAACTTAAAGATAAGCATGTGATAATTAAGAAAATGAGGGGACATTGTATTTAATCAATCTAGTCCTTAGTTTATTTTTGTGCTAACATTTAAAATATAAACCGTTTTATTGTCTTGAAATATTCTGCATCAACAAAGTCTTTCATTTCCTTCCTTGTCACCCAGATGTGATCAAAGTATCCTTCATGTAGTCTGACACAACCTGTTACATAGTTCACTTTGTAGAAAAATACCTAGGAAACAAAAAGAAGATTTTGAGGACAGACACACTTGGAGAATTAAGACAACAAGTTTTGAAAAATGTTTGAGTGCATCTCAGTGTTATTTTTGGGCCTGAGAGAAAGAAAACTCTGTAAAGTCTGAGATAGGTTTTGATTTTGTTTCCATAGGAGGAAGAGCTGATTTCATTCTTTTGAAGATGTAACATCTCTTTATTCCCAAAAGCATCATTAAACTGAACTTAAATCAACAAGGTACCATAACCCTGCCTTTAGCTTGGCACTCCTTCAGCTTTAACAATGTTATCTTTTGAACACTATTAACCTCACCTTGTCATTTTTGTTTTTGTACTTTTTCATCACAGCAGTTGGTGCATTGCTGAGAAACTGAACTTTAAGATCAGTGCCACAAGTGTCACTTAAACTTTTTGATGCTACCTGAAAATAGGTAAAAAATGCAATTTTATTTACAGTTATTAGTAATATTTATAAGAGTTGGACAAAACCCTATTGTCCACTAAACCATCAACTGTGTTGAGAAAGATGACTACACATTTTTGTCAGCAGGTGAACCCCAAGATGAAACCATCCCAATAGAAGCAACCACACTGTGCATGTAACTTTTTTGCGTAAGTACACTATGTTAAGTTTATTTTGCTGTAAATGTAGATCAGCCATCCAAAACATAGGGAAAAGGCTGTGCACATGACCATTACAACATGATAACCACTGTCTTTTAGAGTTATTAATTCCAGTTTTACTAAACTGAAACCCCTTTACTCCCAAAAGTGATTAAGATGCAACCTCTCCCTCTAATATTCATACATTATCCAGCAAAATGGTCATGAGAATACTCAAAAGTATCAGGTAGATGTTGTTATCTTGATCTAACACTAAATTTCCATAACTAATATATGAGGAAATGTGTAGCTGCTAATGGGAGAATCAACAACCAGATCTTGGGAGTTGAAGGTTAAAAGGGAAGGTGTCAACAAACCTGTTGAAGAGTGTCGTTGGTGTTTGTTACTTCACCAAATGGCAGCTCCCATGTCACTGAATCCTTCTGACGTCTTACTAACAAGATTAAATTATCTTGTAGTTTGCGATGCAATGATTTAAGGTCAGTTATTTTGTCTGCTTCTGTCTCTCGGCTGCCTGGCTGATACAGTCTAAATTCCTCTTCTTGCTCCTCCTCAAATTGCTGTTGATTTATCATGACTAATTTAAATCTCATCATATGTGCAATCCACCTGATTTACTTTTCTAATTGTGGGCTACAAGTAATTTCTTTTCAGAATTTCCAAAAAGAGGAAATTCCTATTCCCAGTTGTTAGTAAAGCATTTCGTGATAACACAGGACAGAAATATTGATGTTTCCTCAATTTTTCTTGAAAATTAAGCCTGCATCGGGGTTTACATTTTAAGGGATTTACCTTAGCCATAGACAAAACTAAAGAAAAAATGTAGACAATTGAAACTGTCTGAAAAGCTTCAAAACTAAATCAAAAATTGTTGGCTAATCCCCAGTCAGCCTAATAATGCTTTACACAAATCTGCCTAGTTGGCTAAATTGTGCTGCCTAATAACCAACTTTTCTAGTTCACTTGCCCTCTGGATAAAGCTCCAAACAAGCCACAATATAATCCATATCCCAAGGGGCAGTTTGGTTCCAGAGAGTATCAAGGGTAACAAAAGACATTTTCTAATGGTAACTTCAATGTTTGAACCTCTCAGAGATGATGTGATGTAAATTATGTGCTATCTTCATGTGTAATATGACTTCTTGGCTAAAATAGTATATTGAGTGGCATGTATCAGAAGCACATAACTGTAATAAAATAGGTTCATTTTAACAAGAACAGTCACAATGCAAGATGCAGGCAATAGTGCTAGTCAACATTGAGCATGAACACATTATTAACTAATTCTTTTCTGTTCATGATATCTTACAGGAAGGTAGAAATAATCAAGATCTTTTCACTTGGTTTATAGTCAAACTCAAATCTTATTGCAATGTACAAAAATCTGAAACAACAGAATGAAATGACCAAACGAAACAAATGAAACAAGCAAAACGACCAAAACAAAACGACCAAAACAAAACGACCAAAACAAAATAACCGCTATGACCAAAACAAACCACTAAAATGATTGAGATGAGTGGAGGATAAAATGTCAAAAAAAAATGTAGATTTCACTTCAGATATTCTCTTGCATTTGAGGCTCTGAAATAAATTAAGGTTGTCTCACCAAACCTTTTTTTTTTCCACCACACCAGCAGTTGAAACTATAATTTGACACATATATTATTGTAGTTTCTTGGACAGAATGCCAGCCATATTGAATACTAACGTGTATACAGAAAGGAGAGGAGGAAACAGATAGCTGTATTCATTGACATGATTTTTTTATTTATTTATTTGTTTATGAAGGTTCCCTCGACACCTCACGCCAAGCCAATCGCAATCAAGATGTAACACCTGACACCTCTGGGCATTCATTTTATTATTATTGACTTTTTTTTTTTTTTTTTATTTTTAGGTCATTTCAGTTGTTTCATTTTGCCTGTGATGTTCATTTTGTTTCAATAGTTTTGTTTTGGTCATATCAGTGGTTTCACTTGTTTCATTTTGTTTTGCTCGTTACCATCATTTTGCTTTGCTTGTTTTGCTCCTTTTGCTTATTTCACTTGTTTCATTTTGGTCATTTCATTTCGCTGTTTCAGGTTTTAGAACATGCCAATCTTAACAATCATAACAACCTTTCTTTTCGACTCCATCATTCCTATTGCCATACTTTCATCATCGTCATCATCCTTCAGGTTTTTCTTCCGTTCTTGAATTCCTTCCCACTCAACTTCATCCTCTGACAGTGCACTGTGTTCAAGTTCCAGTTGATCTTGAAGTTCCTCATACCGTTTTTCCAGTTCTGATTTCTCTTTTGTGATCTGTGGCAAACGTTGAACACAAACTGCACTGAAGATCCTTGAAATCCTTGGTTTTGGTTGAACTGAGCAGAAATTCTTTCTATTGATAAAATCTAAGAGAGAAATCTCCTCTGTAAAATCCAATATTTAAATTCATTATCTTATCAATGTATTCGCAGGACAAAATCCCCCAGAGTAGTCTACCAGTTTTCAAGAAAACTGCCAAAATACTATCCCTTTGTGCTCTTACTTGTTATTTTCCCGCTATCCCTGACCGATAAAGGGTAGTTTCTTAAAGAAAAACGCCCGAAACCTGGTCTCAAAAAGTATGCTCCCGGAGCCGCCATTTTGAATCATGCTTAGCAACCACTCATTATGGAACGCCTGGCTAAAAACAAGCATCATGGCGCTAAAGAAGTTAAAGTGCGTGACTTCACTCGAAAAATTTCATCAAATTGGGTCTTTATTTTTCCTCCATGATCAAGGGCATACAGCAGAGAGCTCTAGAAGTCTTCTTACAAGCATTTGGAACAAAGACTTTGAGTTTGACCATATTCGAGTAATTTATCCGCAAGCTCCAGATATTACTTTCCAGGTCGCTCATGGCGGACTTGAACAAGGGCTTTGGTACGAGCGAAACACGTTAAGCCCCACTGCTATGGAGAGGATGGACTCGATTGATCATTCCTGCAGCTTGATTTGCAATTTGATTGATCAAGAAAAATCTCGCGGAATTCCAATGGATAGGATCGTCATTGGGGGATTTGGTATGGGAGGGAATCTCGCCATGCATATAGGGTTCAGGTATGCTCGTAAAAGGGTCATGATTTACAGATATAATATTCGAACTCAATTTTGGTGGCATAAAATTAAAACTAAATGGTCGATAATACTAACCAAACACCCCCAAAAGACATAAAATACACTGATCATGACATTCCCATGGCATGGTTAACTTTCAATCGTAGTTTTAGCGAGGATAAATTAAAGTGAAAATGTGGGTGACATTTACATGGCGTGTGTAGACCCATCACTGAAGAAAGCTGTTTTTTTCATCACGTCACGAGCGTGGAAAAAGATAAAAATTACGGGTTCCCATGAGGGACCTTCTGCTCTCGCTCTCCAATGGTTTACCACTAGGCCACAGAGCCTCACATTGACAGAGTTAATATTTGACACGTGTTTCGCATACCACTGTAAGAACCATTACTAAAATTGAATATTGCGTGACATAGAAATCGCACGTGACACTGTAAGACTTTTCCTTTTTTCTTTTGTCCATCAGGTTTCTCACGAACATTGCCGGTGTTTTTGCTCATTCTTCCATCTTATCGACGCGGTCGACTGTGTTTGAGACAATAAGAAAAGAGAGAGAGCTTAACAAGGACAAGAAGTTCCCTGCTTTGTTTATGTGGAATGGAAGAAGAGATAAGAACTGGCTGAGATGGGCCGCACACACTGCAGAGTGTTTTATGGACTTGAAGATACAAACTGATTTCCAAGTAAATTACGCAATGCAAGGACATGAAATTATATCAGATGAAATAATTTACTTAAGGAAATGGGTGGAACGAATGATTCCTAATCTTGACAGAAATGTCAATGATCAATAAAGTAAATAAGCGGATGCACTTGTTTCTTGTTTGGGTTACTGTTCAGTCTCTCAAGTTTATCTGATTTGAATTTATTGTCGTGATAGACAGGGAAAAGAGACCCGGTAAACGAGGGTGGAGGTATGTCTTTCTTTTTTCTTTTTTTGACATCTTTCCGACAGACTAGCGCACGAGTGTCAAAAGTAGCCAGTTTTTTTTTGGTCCCATCGCCACACATAAATAAATTTTCAGGTTTTAAAGTTTTTCTGCCTCGTCATTTAGCCTAGCTTACTAAAAATGTTATTTAACTTATTGTTCGTGGTTCAGTACTGCAAAGCTAGATAAATTGATCATGGAATAAAGGTGGTAAGTTTCTAAAGAAACTAAGGTGGTCTTTGACCTATTAAAGAGGCCCCCTAAAAATTGAAACGTTTCCACGAAATACGAGTAAATCTTTCAAGGACCCCTGTCAAAGTATACCATTAGGCGAACTTTGCACAATCGGGTAACGCGTGACCATCTGTGACTATAACCATCAAAAACTTCGCGTGACCGCTGAGGCAAATCGTGACCAAAAGATAACGGGTAATTTAGTGTTACTAAATTGACCCGACGTTTCGAGCGTTAGCCTTCGTCAATCGCTCCGACGAAGGGCTAACGCTCGAAACGTCTGCCTTTAAACTCTCTACGGTGGCCAATTTTCGTTTTCAACTTAGCTGTTTACACCGACGCAGCACACCCTTCATTCACGTGATCAGAAGAGCCATTTTCCGCTACGGCACCAGACAATGACGTCATGGGGACGTCATGGGAATGTCCCTTAATTTATTTCTAGGGTGAAGCCAAATTGCAAGTACGTTCCCTCTCCGATTTACTGCTCTGATTCGCTGAGTTGTTTCTTCTGTTTGTGATAGAGCAGGTTTGTATTTCTTAACTTTCTTAGATCGGTTTTCTAGTCTAACAGATTTAAATGAAATGCAGTTAATAACCACCGTTCCTCAAAACGGAGTATTTCGGGCGTGCATTTGATTGCGAACCTACCGTTTGATGATAGAAGGAAGTAGTTAAGCTGTGGTTGAAAATAGTCGATGTGAAAACAAAATAACTTAATCTAGGTTAAAAAAAACCCTTGTTTGATTTGTAATGAATATGTCCCGAGGCGCGCCATCTGTATGCGTAGCCGTTTAATATCGATTTTTATCATCCCGGTTTGATATCGGTATCAGTATCTGTGATAGTTTTTGCACAGCTAACACCTTCGCAGCCCTCTCCACGACTCTTAGTTGCCTACTGCTACTGTGTGATTACTTTAAAAGAATGGGGACTGCTATTTGTAGGGTAAAAACCAAATCTGTATAGTAAAAACCAAATCTTAGCTCTTAAAGCTGGTGCTTTACTATCCAAACAAGCCTAGCTTTGCCAAACACTCTCTTAGGTCCTACATCATTCTACTCACATTCGAATTGGCAACCTTACCCCTTCTAAATGGTAAATTATGATGATTACTATATTTAAAGTGATACACTGCCTAAGGAAAACTATCATTGTTCTTTTAAGTCAAAGCTCCATGAAATGATTTACAACATTTTCAATACATTATTCTTCACACCAATTTTTTTAGTATCATTTTTATGACTGTGTCACATGCAAGTGATTAAAGTGGGAGCCTTATCCATCATCAGAAATACCCTACCAATTCTAAAAACTTTGAAGTTGGATTAATTTCCCTTTTCCCCTCTGACTTTATGCTTCTAGGAAACTCAGTATTGCGCTGTGTCACAAAACCCCGTCTGCTGGGATTGACAGTAGATAATAGACTCACTTGGGAACAACACATGTCAAATTTAAAGAAAAACCTTTGAAACAAATCAGAATTAGTGAAACATTCCAGCTTCTTGCCTAAGGAAGTCCCACTAAAATTCTATTTTGGCATCACTTGGCCATCTATTGTGTATGGCCTAGGTTTGTGGGGTGTGTGCTGTAACTCTGATATGATTAGTTCAATTAAGTGACTTCATTGTCAAGCCTCCAGTTTCATTTTTAATTTACCTGGATAACTATCAGATTAGGCTATAAAGTAGAAATGATTAAACTATTCTATCTCTTTTGGCAAATAATGATATCCTCCCAGATTACCTTCCTAAGAGGATCTTTAGAAATGGAGAAAGTTCTTACTCATTACATGGTCAGAATGTAGCTTTGATCCCGAGATACAATAGCAGATTAATAAGAGACTCGTTAGTCTTTTGTGGTTCAGCCCTCTGGTAATTTGTTAATTATAATGATAAAATAGATAATCTAGATTTTAAGAAGTATTTTTAAAACTTTGTCTTCAACAGCTCAACTGCCTCCACATTTCAATATAGAGAATGTGACTACGTGTACTTTTTGAAATTTGAATTAGTATTTTTAATGGTTATCCCCTCCCTCTCTGACCTTTGTCAAGTGAGATGTATTGGTTTGTAAAAAAATGAGCCAGAACCTCTTTAACACAATTCTCAATTGTATTTATCAGGAAGACAATGGCCGTAGCTGCTGCTCCAGTGTCATTTTCCTCTACTAAAGAGACCACCAATTATGCAAAACTTTGTCGTCTTCTGGTTGATGTGGGATCTTGTGTGCTACGGGACACATTTGACAGGATTAATCTCCCAAGTGACCTCTACAAAACCTTGATGACACATCACACCAAACTTCAGCTACTTCAAAAGAAAAAAGTTTTAAATCCAACACAATGGGGAAAGTTATACCCTGCAATACGCACCTCAGTATCATCAAGAGACTTTGATATAACTCTTCTGACAGTCCTACTGAGGAACATTTGTAGCTTAAGACCACCAGCCACTGGATGGGATGCACCTCCACCTGCCACAGACATGAGCACAGAGGCTGACATTGCCCGAGTGAAATACTTTAGAAATACAGTGTATGGCCATGCTGAGAAGGCTTCTGTGGATGATGCTACATTCAATGTGTATTGGCAAGATATCAAAGATGCTTTAGTGAGACTTGGAGGACCTACATATGGAGTGGCAATTGATGATCTTAAAAATGAATGCATGGACCCTGTATTTGAGGAACACTACAGAGAACTTCTAAAGGAATGGAAAAGAGATGATGATAACACTAAAGACAAACTGGATGAAATTGATCGGAAACTTGAAGAACTGATGAAAGCATCAACAAGCAAAACACAACAAAAAGGTAAATTTGTTAGCAGCAAGGTGATGTGAAGACAGGGAAGGAAAAACAAAATTGATGATAGAGGAATGAGGAGAAAAAACCAGAAGAAACCACAAACAAACTTAGCAAGAAATTAGAAGAATTATCAAGCCTGTTTCTAATCCTTTTTTCTTTTTTACTTTCCATTCCTTCCTTTTTCTATCCTTTTTTTGTTCTATGTCTCCTTTTCAGCACTTTCTTTTCCTCCTTCCCCTTTAGTCATTATCTTCCCTTTCCCTTTCTCCTTATCTAAGGTGAAAATTAAAGAGAGGAAAGGAAAAGCAATCATTTACATGCCTTTTTTACTTTTTGAGAAAATTAAACTAAATACATTCAAAGAAGCCTGATTACATTGAAACATTCTCATTTTGTCTTTAATTTCTTTTGGAAGAGATGCAAACATCTAAGATTCAGTTTTCATTGATTGAAAAATAATATTGTTCTGAAATAAAAATTAATTCTTTATTTACCTCATAGCAATATTACTTTAGTTTCAGATGTTGAGGAACCAACTGAACTTATACAAAGGATTCGCCAACTTTATTTGACACGTGAAAGGCAACTTTCACCATTTCCTTGGTGTGACCTTGAGCTGAATGATATATTTACCAGGCCAACAATTGTCAGGCACGACAAAACTAGACAAACAGGTGCAGAACAGGTAATCAGCATAACTGGAGTCTTTAAACCACACAGTGGATGCTCTAAGCCCAGAACTGTTCTGATTGAAGGAGAACCTGGAATGGGCAAGACTACCTATTGTCAAAAGGTAGTGTATGACTGGGCCAATGGTCAAGAAACAGATGCTTCTTTCCCAAAAACTAAATTGGTTCTCCTGCTCAAATGCCATGACATGTCAGGCAACATCTGGGAAGCCATTGATGATCAGCTGCTTCCTAAAGATATTGAAGAGGAAGAAAGAGAGAACTTCTTCAAGTACATTCGTGCCAATCAGTCCCAGGTTCTCTTGGTACTTGATGGATTAGATGAAGCACCTTCCAATCACATGAAGATATTTTCAGACCTTGTTGAGAGCAGAGAGCTATCAAAGTCTCACATCATTCTTACATCCAGGCAAGAGGGTAGTGTTAAGATAAGAAAGTTTTGTGACACCTTGTTTCAGATACAAGGATTTGCTTCAGAGAATTCTTACAATTACATCAAACACTACTTCAAAGACTTGGAGGCACAGGGACAAAACCTTTTAAAGGACATAGAACAAAATATTGAACTTGGAGAACTGATTGTCAATCCCTTGTTCACAGCAATGCTGTGTCTTTTTTATGAAGATTTAGAAGGTGGTCTGCCTCTAAGCAAGACTCAGTTGTATCTTGAGATCACAGAATGCATTCTTAAGAGATTTTGCCAAAAGCAAGGGTTGTCTCACAATAATGACAGCCTAACTGAAGTTTACAAAGAAGAGCTGGAACAATTGGGAAGTATAGCCTGGGAGACCTTGAAGAGATATAAGATGCATATTGATGAAGGTGTATTTACAGCTACAACTACAAGAAAATCACCTCTATTTGAATTTTTGTCAGTTCAATCTAACAGCAGCAAAAGAAGATCCCATACATGCTATCGATTTTCACACAAGAGTTTTCAAGAATTCTTTGCAGGTCTTCATCTTTCTGACCAAATTTTGAAAGGGGAAACAGACTTTGAGAGACTGCTTACAAATGAAAGAGGAAACTTAAAGTCTCTTGAACCGGTCCTTTTGTTCACAGTTGGTATTCTTGGACTTAGAAGTGAAAATGATGCTTTGTCTATTTTAGAAATCATTATCAAGAAAACCAATCTTTTCAAAAACTTTGGGTTTCAAAATTTTTATCTGTGTTTTGCATTAAAGTGCATCAGTGAATGCTCCACTGAAAATTCAAGACTTCGATCCCAGATGATAATTTTTTTGGGAACAAATATGGAGCTTCAAGGGTTGATAATATCTGACTACAGTTTCCCCTTTAAGTTGTTTGTTGAGGCCCTTCAAGTCAATGGCACACTCACTCATTTATTAATACCTTTTTCACCTATTGGAGACCAGGATATTGTGTCATTGGCAAATATGCTTCGAGTCAATAAAACTCTGACTACAGTTAGACTCACTACAAATGGTTTTGTCAGTGCACATAATGTGCAGCAACTGGCTGATTCTCTAATGGTTAACAAAACAGTAAATGACTTGATGTTTGGTGGAAATGCATGGGGCAATGACGCAGTCAGGATCTTGGTAGGTTATATGAAGAGGAGTGAAAGCTTGAGTTCCTTAAATTTTAATTGTAGTGACATTGGTGATGCAGGAGCTACAGCACTTGCAGAGGTTTTAAGGACCAACACAACTTTAAACAGTTTGGGCCTTTGTAAAAACCCAGGCATTGGTAATCCCAGTGTTATGTCACTGTGCGAGGCTCTGAAAGTCAACACAACCCTTTGCTCATTAGATTTGTCTGGCACTGGTATTAGTGATGCTGGTGTTCTTTCTCTTGTGGAAGTTCTCAAAACCAATACCAGCAGCCTAACCTCTTTGTCACTGTCAGATATCAAAATAAGTCATCACAGTATAACGTCTCTTGCAGAAGTCTTGAGAGTCAACTCTACTTTGAAAGAGCTTGAATTTGAAGGAAATAAAGTTGGTGTTTGTGGAGCAAAGTTGGTAGCTGAGAGCCTTAAAGTCAATACAACCCTGAAACTTCTAAGTCTCTCAAGGAACAACATCAAAGCACCATGTGGCCGTTTATATACTGATTCCCTCAAAGTTAATGGGACACTGGAATCTCTGACTTTGGCAGAGAATGCCCTTGGCTCTCGTGGTGCCCATCTTCTATCAGAAGGGCTCAGAGTGAATACCTCGCTTAGACATCTGGACCTGTCTTGGAATTCCATTGGCAGTGAAGGTGCAGAGTCAATTGCAGAAACCATCAGAATTCATGCTTCACTGACCAGCTTGAAGCTACTAGGGAACAATATTGGTGATCCTGGAGCCAACAAGGTTTCTGAAGCTCTTAAAGTCAATGTCTCTCTGGAGGACCTGGATCTGTCATTTAATGCCATTGGTGCTGCTGGAGCTGAGTCTATTGCTGAGGCCCTTAAAAGTAATGCTACTCTGACTGCTTTAGACCTTGGTTGTAATGTCATTGGCGATAATGGAGCCCAATCACTTTGTGAGGCTCTTAAGACAAATGCCACCCTGACCAACTTGGATGTTTGTGAAAACAATATTCATTCAGCTGGTGCTCAGGCATTTGATGAGCTCCAAGGAAATAATAATACCTTAAAGGTGGTAAATTTAGCAATGAACAATATTGGTGATTTAGGTGATCATAGGGATCAAGAACTTAATGAAGTCCCCGTGGTAAGCATTCCTTCTTTTCTTACTTTACATGATCTTTCACTACGATTTACTGATCTGCAAAGTTTTTGTATAGTTGTGTCTAAAGAAACTTTGATGCTACCTCAACAGTAAAGCATTTTGTACATTACCAAATGAAAATCAAGTTGTAAAAAGCAAAATTCTTTTTTGTGCTTGACTTGTTAAGGCCAACACACATGAAAAAGTGTGTTTCTTATTTGACAGTGAATGTAGATCTCTTTCCTCTAAAAGAGAAGGGCCTTCTGCTGCTCTCCTCAAACCCTAATTTTTAAAAACCAAACAAGTTTTCTTCCAAGAGTTTGTTGAAAGCTCTGATGTTTTTCTTGCCTTAAAGAGAACTAAATTCATTGACAAGGAACATGTTTCTTTTCCTCATTCTGCTATTGCAGGTTGAGGATTAAGTTTAATCGTATGCCCAAAAAATGGTGTGTTGAAATGTTCATATTTATATTTCCTTAGTGATATGCTATACCAAAGTGGCCGAATGTGTCTTTAAGACAAGATTAAGGGAAAGGAAAGGTTGATGCTACCAATGTAAAGTAACGATACAATTTAGGAGAGTAGAGCCAAGTCTCCCTCACAGTTGACATCAGTTCTCACACAGGCAACCCAGCCTCAAAAAATGAGCCTCCGTAAAGATGGAAATATTTTTATGTTGTGTGATAATCCTATAAGAAGTGGGTTTGTTTTAATTAAAAATTTTAAGTTCAGATCTTTAGGTTGAGGGTGCAACTGTTTATTCTAATACAAATCTTTACATTTTGCCCACTGAGCAACATAAACATATATTCATGGTTTTTCATGGTTATGGACAATCATTTTTTGTGCTTTGGCTACTTACAGTTATCAAAACAAATTTATGCTCAGGCTTTAAGGTATCAAGCAGTAAGAAACTAAAACGAAATAACTCTGTTTCCATTTCATATTATTCTGATTGCTTCAGGGTATGTTTGAACTTTCCAAAAAATGACAAATTTACCCTGCCTTCTTGTATCCTCATACAGTCACTGAACATGGCAGTGATTTTTATTTCTAAGATGCACCTGTGAGTGATCAAGCTGGCACACACCCCTGGTCAGCTCAGCTGCTCATCCCGAAAAACTGTTGAGCTGGCAATCTGCACTCAGACTAAATAAAATTCACATGAAAGAGGGATGTTAAGAAACAATTAATGTATTTTGGACCAAATGAAAGTAGGTAATATCTGTATCAAACCATCAGTAGAGACAATAACCCTTCACACCCTAACATCAGTATTGACATTTACTACACAAGGAGAATTTGTATAACAATCAAGAGTTTCTTTAGTTGGTGATCATTTCCTTTACTCTCACGACATTAATGTGTGATTCAGTAGTGATATTGTAGGGAGAAATTAGATGCTAGTCACTCTTAGGGGTTAAAGGCTGGATATATAGACCTTAGCTCACATAATTTTTTTATTTTTCTCAAGATTAACAGTCAAGTTAAGTTTTTTCGGTGACTGAGGATTTCAGTATCTTTATCAACTTGCAGATGGAGCTTGTAAATATTAAGACAGCTTTAATTTTTATTTGCTGATTATTTCTAGTTTGAGAAGGGCTGTTCCAAGGATGAATTAAAGAGAGTCTTAAGGATCTCCCCATGTAGAAGGTTTTACAACACCTCGTAGTAATCCTACAGTGTATTTTATTACACAGACATCTTTTTAGTTTCAATGTATAAGCTTTTTTCTTCCTTCAATGGAGTGGCTTAAGTACTTCTGTATTCTTAGGTTGAAACAATCTCCAATTATACATTACATACTTCTATTTGCTATAGAAGGTAAAAAAAAAATTTATAACTTGAAGCTAATGTGGACCTACCATAACTAAATAATTTGTAACAGAAACCACTGAAAAGAATTAAAAACTTTTTTTACATGTGATAATCAACCATATTCCATTGTAATACCAAATATCTACCAAAGGTAGATAGCATTTCAAAATCTTTTTTCAAGAAAATAATCAAGCTCAATCTTCAAAGTCAAATTCCAGCCCAGTCCCTATCAGCTTGTTCATAACCTCATTTTCAAACATATTGTTCTGTTCTGGGGTGAAGTAATTTTTCTAGTCACCAATCCTTCCTTTGCACAATAATTTTGGTCCCTGAGCTGTGCCCTCCGACCAGTAATTTGACATGTTCTTCTTCATTCCTTTAAGGCTGCACTGTTCAGCAACTTCTGGGATGATATCTTCTGAAAGCTGTTTACCAAGGAATTTGGCTTTTGTACAAACATTGCTGTGCAAATCCTAAAAGAGGAAGAGAAAAAAAATAACTTGAGGTTCTATGACTGTTTGGGTTGAGCCTTTCCCAGCTTTATTTCTAGTGTGCTTAGTGTATGACAAATAACTGACACAATACCTCTGATAAAAGAAAAAAAGGGGAAACTCTATCAAATGTTTAAGAGGGTAACCTGTCATACACCAACATATTCCAGCAAACTAGATGTGCAGGCATCAGATGACATTTGCTATGGTACTCACAGGGAGAATTTATTTGAAAATCAATAACTATAACTGTAGTGGGTGATTATTTTCTTTATTCTCCTAACCTTGATGTTTGCTTCACAAGTAACACTGTAAGGAGAAATAGGATGCTAGTCACTGCTAAGATTTAAAGGTACAAGAAAGAAAAAAACCTGTCATGCTAATAGTTGTTTTTGAAGAAACCACCTCTGGCTTAAGACTGGCAGATCCCAACCTTTTGTGATGGTAAAATATAATCTTACATTATCTGATATCAACCTACTGTAATTTGGTCGCTGAATGAAAAAGTGTGAGAATGGAATTTTATAAAGCGCAATAAAACACAATCTAGCCTTTATCAAGTCTTTATACTTGAGAAATAAGACATTGGGATCATCCCTGTGCCTCCACCAGCCTAACACATGATCACTCCAATGACCACACAACACTGGAATAAAACAATTCCAAATCATCTTAAGAAAGGGCCAGAGGGGAAGGAAGGGGGGGGGGGTGGGGAGGTGGCACAATGCTGAAATTGTTTACCTTAGCTTTTAAAACTACACCAAACCCAAGGATGTATTTTTTCATCCAAAAAGGTTTCTGGAGTTGACTCTAACCATTTCACTCACAAATCTCATAAATAATTCTCCTGGCCACTTGTCATACAATTGTTATGATGCAAGTTCACTTTATGCTACATGGACACTGGAATAAGCTCCAGCTGGATGGACCAATAGGCTCAAGTACAAACTTTACCTTACCTTCATCTCAAAGATAACCAGCATGTAATGATTATGGAAATGAGGGGATTATGTATTCAATCAAACTAATCCTTGATTAATTGTCTTGAAATATTCTGCATCAACTAAGTCTTTCATTTCTTTCCTTGTCACCCAGATGTGATCAAAGTATCCTTCATGTGGTCTGACACAACCTGTTACATAGTTCACTTTGTAGAAAAATACCTGGGAAACAAAAAGAAGATTTTGAGAACAGACATTCTTTTGGCAAGTTAACACAACAAGTTCTGAAAAATGTTTGAGTGCATCTCAGTATTATTATTGGGCCTGAGATAAAGAAAATTCTGTCAAATCTGAGATAGGTTTTAATTTCGTTTCAATTAGAGGAAAAGAGCTGGTTTCATTCTTTTCAGGACATAAGAAACATCTCTTTATTCCTAAAAGCATGAACAAACTAAAACTTATATCATCAAGGTACCATACCCTTGCCTTTAGCCTGACACTCCTTCAGCTTTAACAATGTTATCTTTTTAACACTATTGACCTCACCTTGTCATTTTTGTTTTTGTATTTTTTCATCACAACAGTTGGTGCATTGCTAAGAAACTGAACTTTAAGATCAGTGCCACAAGTTTCAGGGGTTTACATTTTGAGGGATTTGTCTCAGCAAAAGACAAAACTAAAGTAAAAATGTAAACAATTAAAACAGTCTGAAAAGCTTCAAAACTAAATAAAAAAAAATTGTTGGCTTATCCCAAGTTAGCTTTAAAATACTTTGAACAAATCTGCTCAATTGTCTAAATTTCATTGCCTGATAACCAACTTTTCTAGTTCACTTGCCCTCTGGATAAACCTCCAAGCAAGCTACAGTTCAATCCTTATCCCAAGGGGCAGTTTGGTTCCAGAGAGTATCAAGGGTAACGAAAGACATTTTTTATGGTAATTTCAATGTTCATATCTCTCAGAGAGATGATGTGATGCAAATTATATTTATTTAATAATTCTTTTCTGTTCATGACATCTTAAGAGAAGCAGTAATCATCAAGATCTTTTCACTTGGTTTGTAGCTAAATTTAATCCTATTGGCATAAACTAAAACCCAAAATAGCAAAACAAGCAAAATGAAATGGCCATAACAACTAAAATGAAATGACCAAAACAAAACAACCAAACAAAATGACTGCTATGACCAAAACAAAACCACTACAATGGTCAAGATGAGTGGAGGATAAAATGTCGCAGAACTTGTAGATTTCACTTCAGATACTCTCTCACAGTTAAGCCTTTTAAATATTAAGGCTGTCTCACAAAAATTTTTTTCCCACCACACGAGCAATTGAAACTATAATTTGATACTTATACTCACGCCAAGCAGATGGCAATTGAGACATAACTGAATTTCCCCAATAAGGTAGATCAGGAGTAGACCATAATCGAAATGAGATAAATATATCAGCTGACACTGAGATTAAATTTTCTAGTCATTTTGGTCATTTCGGTTTGGTTGTTATGTTCATTTCATTTCAGTTGTTTTTTTTTTTAGATTCAATGGTTTCACCTATTTCATTTTGTTTTGCTCATAACCATTGTTTTGTTTTGCTTGTTTTGCTTGTTTCATTTTGGTCATTTCACTTTGCTGTTTCAAGTTTTAGTACATGCCAATCTTAACAATCATAACAACCTTTCTTTTAGACTCCATCATTCCTATTGCCATACTTTCATCATCGTCATCATCCTTCAGGTTTTTCTTCCGTTCTTGAATTCGTTCCCACTCAACTTCATCCTCTGACAGTGCACCGTGCTCAAGTTCCAGTTGATCTTGAAGTTCCTCATACCGTTTTTCCAGTTCTGATTTCTCTTTTGTGATCTATGGCAAACGTTGAACACAAATTGTAATGAATATCCTTGAAATCCTTGGTTTTGGTTGAACTGAGCAGAAGTTCTTTCTATTGATAAAATCTAAGAGAGAAATCTCCTCTGTAAAATCCAATATTTAAATTCATTATCTTATCAGTGTATTCGCAGGACAAAATCCCCCAAAGTAGTCTACCAGTTTTCAAGCGAACTTTCTGGCCTAATATCCCTTTTAAGAACTAAAGTGCTCTTACTTGTTATTTTCACGCTATCCCTGAGCGATAAAGGGTAATTCCTTGAAGGAAAACGCCCTAAACCTATTCTCGCAAAACAAGCTCCCTAAGCCGCCATTTTGAATCATGCTTAGCAACCTCTTCCACTATTTCCGCTAAAATCATAACCTTTAAGTACAACAAATCAGCACATTAGTAATTGTTATCAGAGGTCTGGAAATCCTATAAATCTTTCACATTTATTTCAAGTAACCTTTAATTTCACATGGATGAATAAGTATATGCTCAAGATGCAGAATGTCTTACATTTTACAAACTATTTCCCTTTTTATGGATAGACAGTGAAAGGCCTTTGCCACTTTGGTGAATCAAACCATTGTATACCATGCATTTTGTGATAATTGTTTGTTTTTGCTCACAATATCCAGAAAAATGGAGGGGATAAATTTAAATAGCAAATTCTATTAATGGTTAAAATTAAATAACATTGGAAGATCAAATTAACTTTGTACTGTTTAAAATTCAGTTTTGGTTTCTTGCTTATTCCAGCCTCTTAATATTCAAAAGCATTCCTTGTCAATTTTGTGTTCTTCTGTGTACATAATGTGAAAAATAAACACGGAAAGGAAACCACAAAGGATTAAACTTGAAGCTAAAGCAAAGTTTAAGTTGAGCCATAGCTGATCCAAATACTGAGCACTTTGTATTGTAACCCATTTAGCAGTAAAGTTTATCTATATGTCTGCCAGCTTTTCACAAGTCTTACCCCTCTCCTTCAAAAGTCTCTATAAATAAATTTTTCTTTGTGGTCCCTAATTGATAATAAGTATATTACAGCTCCTCAATTTTCCTCTCTCAAGACAAGGTTACTCTAAATTTAACAAAGTAATGGACTTGATTAAACTCAAACTATAACTCAGCTGGCTGCTACTTGCAACCTTAATTTCTAGGTATCAGTATACGATAATCAATATGTTATAAATAAGAACCCTAATGCTTAATTTTGCAGTGATCACCTTCCTTTTCATTTGCAGACCAGACTGGAACCTCTATAGGTGTGTTTGCTTGTTTTGAGTGGGGATGGAAGAAAAGGAGTCATGCCGCATATCTGATTTATTAAGTCACATTTTTTCTGTTTATACATGAGTAGAACTACCTTGTTCTCTGAAAAAAATAAAATTTCTCGCATTTTTATCTGTGCTTTGCAGTCAAACTTCCTTGTGTCTTGGACAAGAAATCTTATTTTCTTGGAAACAAAATCTTTGTTTCTAGCTGCTCCTTAACAAGTATCATGGCGCTAAAGAAGATTAAACTGCGTGACTTCACTCGAAAAAAACTTTCATCAAATTAGGTTTTTATTTTTATCCTCCATGATCAAGGACATACAGCAGAGAGCTCTCGTCCCTCTCGACCGAGTCTTCTTACAAGCATTTTGAAGAAATACTGAGTTTGACCATGTTCGGGATAATTTATCCGCAAGCTCCAGATATTACATACCAGGTCCATGATCAAGGACATACATGGCTTCTTACAAGCATTTTTTTGCAAGTTAAAATACTGAGTTTGAACAGGGATATTACATACCAGGTCGCTTGGCGGACTTGAACAGGGGCTTTGGTAAGAGCGGAACACTTTGAGCCCCACTGCTATGGAGAGGATGGAATCGATTGATAACTCCTGCAGTTTGATTTGCCATTTGATTGATCAGGAAAAATCTCGCGGAATACCACTGGATAGGATCGTCATTGGCGGATTTGGTATGGGAGGGAATCTTGCTATGCATGTAGGGTTCAGGTATACTCGTAAGAGGGTCATGACTTACAGATATAATATTCGAACTCAATTTTGGTGCCTTAAACTTTAAAAAGTCGATGATATGAATCTAACACCCCAAAAAGACATAATGTGCACTGATCATGACATTCTTATGGCATAGTTAACTTGCAATCGTAGTTCACGCGAAGATAAAATGAACATAACGTGGGTGACATTTACATGGCGTGTGTGTGTGTGTGTGTGTGTGTGTGTGTGTGTGAGTGTGAGTGTGTGTGTATGCAAGAGGGACATGTTGTGAAGTGACAGAACCATCACTGAAGAAAGCTGGCTGTGCGGAAACTTTACCGAAAGCTGGTTTCATTTTCGTCATGTCACGAGTGTTGAAAAAGATAAAAAATTACAGGTTCCCATAAGAGAAGTGAATCTCAGATCTTTCGCTCCCGCTCTCCTATGGTCTACCACTAGGCCACAGAGCCTCATATATGACAGGGTTCATATGTGACCACTGGAAGCCCAAGCTTCAGTTACGAGATGATCATCTTGCAAAATAACAGTCATGGCAAAATTATAATAGTTTGTATGGGAATATTTATGACTGCTCTAAGGATTAAAAAAATAAATAAAGTTCTCATTAAAAATAACTCACCTTACTTCCAGTACATCACTTATTGTCTGACTGTTTACTACATTGAAGGGAACCCATTTTAGCTAGTTATCCATTTCTGGGTTTATAGTTACATATGAGAAGCCATAAGGGCTTTTCTTATGTATGTAGTAAACCTAGAAATGGATAACTTACTAAAATGGGTTCTTTTAAATATAGTAGGTGGTCAGATAACAAGCAATGTACTGTGGAAGTAAGGTGAG